CTCTTCGAAGGATATTGATGACAATTCTTCCATTAGAAGCTCTTCTGATGACAATATTTCTGGAGTTGAGGTTCCTTCTTTTTCTTCTGGTAGAATCTCCAATTTTGATCAGGTAGAGAATACATTATTCACTTTTTTTTGGCTTTGTTGAAAGGATGAGATTTTTTTTATTAGAAACTCTTTACTCTCTTTTGAAAAACTGGACAATTATTTTTTTTCAATAAAAAACTATTTTTCGAAACAACTTTGGAGCTGTTTTTCAGAACAAAATAAATAGTTTCAAAGTGTAAATTTGAAAATAGTCCTTGAATCTAACAGCTAATCATCCATCCCTAACCTACATATCTTGCTGTGAGCAAGACTCACAACGACCCTGCAACAGATGCACATCCCTTTTCCCAGACCTAAACTGCCCCCTCAATCCCGTGACCACTATTCAGAATACCATGTACCTTTGCATATCCCCTTCACTGTATTAATCTCGGAGCTGGCAAGCATCACCTAACTATTGCTTTATATTACCATGTCATATCAATCTAACTCTGATTATTCACAGTAACGATTTTTTTAAGAGGATTTTTATTCCATTACCATTCTCGTAAATCTTCATAAAAATTATCTCTGATGAATCATTATTCTTTTCATATCAAGGGTGCTTTCCCTGGAGGAGTTATCTTGCTTCCTGATGCAGAGATACACACATCAGGTGCAAAGGCTGCTGCATGTGGTCGCTTATCATCACTGTCTGAAGTTTCTGATAAAGGTAATATTTTTTTAACTACATATTTGTAGTCCCATATTTAATCTTTCTAATGATATATTTCTCATGGAATGATACAATGTCCTGTTTAAGAATCCTCTCTGGTTTACTAACACTCATAAAGAAAGAATTCCAGCTCAAGATTTTTTGAACTAGCCAGCTCAAAACCGTTAGAGAACCTTACTGAAACAATGCTTTAAATCTTCTTGTTCATTTGAAAATTGATTCTATATTTTCTTCCCTTATATTCTAGGAGGATGTATAGTCTGATTTTTTACTCTTTTCCTCTAAATGAATTGTTCTACTGCATAGAAAAAGGTTGATATTGTTACCCAGTCATTTTGGTGGGGATGTGCATACAGATCTGCTTGACTTAGCATATAGATATGCATTGTGTTAAGTCTCAATTCTCAAATACCCGTCAAAGAGCCGCTGACCAGAAAACATAGATGTTACACCTGGGCCGCCAAAGGATATTCAATTCTAACATGTTTCAGTTCATCATAAAAAAATGTATTTTAATTATCAAAATTGGACATTTCCAGTTTGAAGCGATTAAATTTGTGTCCTTTTGAAGGATATCCCACCCTCACCTTCCCGCTCTTGATAATACTTTTATCACTAAATATTTAGATTCACCCATGCCGTGTCTTAAATACATTTTATGTCATATTTTGAATATGTCATTCAATTTAAACATGTTAACTTAAAACACGTATAACCAAACATTAATTATGCATTAACCACTCAATATATCAGCCGCATTTTTCTGCAAATCTCATGTTTCTGAATTTTTCTCTCCCTTTCCGTACAGCTTTGCTTTATGTTCTTATATTCAAATAGACTGAAGTGCTCAAGTTAAACCATACATTGTCAATTCAATGAGATATTGGAAGTTGATTGTTGGTAATGGTTAAGATGATTTTGAAAAATTTGTTTGCAATGTTAATTGTCAGTGATCAGATTCATAGACTAATTAACAATTTTATAATTAACAACTACTATTTTTTGGTAAATCATATTTCTGAAGTCTGATTTTGAATGACAGTTTACAGTGATCAGGGAGTGCCTGCTTCCTTTCGAGTTCCTTCTGGGGCAGTTTTACCATTTGGATCGATGGAATTGGAGCTAGAGAAGAGCAACTCCACCGAAGCATTCAGGTCTATCCTGGAAAAGATAGAAACAGCAAAATTAGAGGGTGGTGAACTTGATGATCTGTGCCATCAACTCCAGGAATTAATTTCTTCCCTGAAGCCATCAAAAGACATCATTGAAAGCATTGGGAGAATATTCCCAAGCAATGCGCATTTAATTGTTCGATCCAGTGCCAACGTTGAGGACTTAGCTGGAATGTCAGCTGCTGGACTTTATGAATCAATACCCAATGTTAGTCCTTCCAATCCAACAGTTTTTGGAAATGCAGTTAGCCAAGTATGGGCTTCACTGTACACTCGGAGGGCAGTATTGAGCCGGCGCGCTGCTGGTGTTCCTCAGATGGAAGCCTCAATGGCAGTTCTGATCCAAGAAATGCTCTCACCGGATTTATCATTTGTACTACATACTGTGAGTCCAGCAAAACAGGATAATAATTGTGTGGAGGCTGAGATTGCTTCTGGCCTTGGTGAAACTCTGGCTTCTGGAACAAGAGGTACACCGTGGCGTTTATCATCAGGTAAATTTGACGGGCAGGTGCAAACCCTAGCTTTTGCAAACTTGAGTGAGGAATTGCTGGTACGAGGTGCTTCTGCTGATGGGGAGGTTATCCGTTTGACCGTTGATTACAGCAAGAAACCACTGACAGTTGACTCAGCTTTCCGTAGACAACTTGGTCAACGCCTTTGTGCAGTTGGGTTTTTTCTGGAGAGAAAGTTCGGTTGCCCACAGGATGTGGAAGGATGTCTTGTTGGCAAAGACATCTTTATCGTCCAGACACGGCCCCAACCCCTGTAATAGAAATCTCCTGCTTCTGTTGTCTTGTGCTGTGTTGCAGGAAATTTCTTCCACTACACTTAAACATGATATTCCATAGATTGCTGGGTACGCAGTCACCGTACCATTGTATCATTATAAAGTATGATGTATATTTATTTCTTCAAAAAGACATTATTGTGACACCGGCAACATATCATCAAAGAAGAGAAATGGGGGATTCACAACTCCCATACTCTCAACAACTTTACTTCAAAGAATACCCACAATTCTTGTTATGTCTCTTAGTTTTCAGCTTTTATAAATTTTAAAACTCATTCAATAATTATTTTATTTAAACAGTAAAACAGAAATAAAAAAAACTATTTTTATTTTTTAGTTTTAAAAATTAAAATACTAAAACTAATAAAAAGTATTTTTTTCTTTTAGTTTTTTTATTAATGGTATTCACAAGTTCATTAAATAGTTCTAATTTTTTTTGTTTAAATTAGTTTTTAAAATTATCAGATATTTTTAATTTATTTTTAAAAATAGGTCACAAAAATTATTTTTAAAAATTAAAAATTAAAAATAAATTAAACAAATGCTTAATTTCTCTGTCTATAATGCCTTAACTATTTTCTGAAGTCATGACCTTCTTTATGATTCATTGATGCATCTATCATGTTTGTTTGGTGATACATTTAAGATAATATGACATAAGTATAGTACATATTAAGAAGATTTGTTAATCTAAACTAAGAACATACTTCTTGGTGTTAATAAATTAAAATAAGAATTTTAAAATATTATTCTTATAATATGAATTTTAGAGGATTTTTTTTCACTTCTTGTTCATAAATAAACATTGTTCGAACAAAATTTCAACGAGTACCGTTAGAGTTAAGATTATGAGATCTTTCTATTCAATTATAAAAATTATATTTGTTGTGTTAATTCTATTCAATTATGGGATCTTTCTATTATAACTTTACTAATCAACTTTTATAAACAAATGTTGTCAAAATTTTATCCAATGCAGGGAGATGGTACGATTATGTGTGAATCACTTATACATGTTTCAAATATTTTTCACATTTTTCATTCTAAACATCTCACTTTTTCTTTATAATTGGAGATGTATCTCACATTTTTCTTAATCAAAATACATGTGTTGAGACTTCATACAATTTAATGTATTATATTCTTAGCTTTTAATGTAAGTTTTTATTTGAACTTTTGATTATAAGTAATCAAATCATAAAAATAGTGTCTATTTCTATAAATATATTCTCGAATAATTATTTGTAGTCATTTTTAGCGATCTTAATGATCGTTAGGTATTTCTTTTAATGAACGATTTCATTCTGTATTGACAAATAAATTGTTGTTTAAGTTATATCTAGATTGATTTCATTTAATTGTGACCATCTTAATGGTAAACATCAAAAGAAGATATACCTTTTTAATGATTTCTATACGAGATCAATTTTAAGAACTTTAATCATCTTTCACTTTAAAAAATATAACTTTTAAAAAATTTAAAATAAGTTTTATAAGTCATATTACACCTTTGTATTTCTTTAAAATGAATTCCACGATTTATCTTTAAACTATTTTAATGATTAAATTTTAGTTTACAAAATAAAAAGAATTCTTACATTTGATATTCAATTATATTACAGTAACTATTATCAAAATGTAATTCAATTAATGTAAAGTTTGTACAAGTTTTTCCTAGAAAATAACCTATTTTTTTTAGTACAAATAAAATTATTCAAAGTGAAGATTTTCTTGGTAAAGTATAAAGATATTTACAAGATATACCATTAATGTTATGAACAAAAATACAGTTTGAAGAGTAGGAGAAAAAGGCTTAATTTTTGTTTTGTGTTATAAGTAGCGTGGGATTAGGGATAGGATTGAGAGGGTGAGGATAAGAAGAAGAAATTATGGGAGCAAAGTACAACGAACGAACGAACCAGTAACCAACCATTCTAGTTTTAGCATTCATGCGATGTTGTAGTGCTGTAAAGTGAAGCGGATCCAACACCACTTGTCTTCTTTCTCTTCGTACTCCACTCTTACGTGTCTAATCTTCTTTGTTATATAAATTACTATCATAAACTTATCCTAATCCTAGTGAGAGTCGTAGCATGCCATCAAAGATGATGAGATTGGACGCTACAATTAGATGTTTTTATGCCTCTTAATAGATTAGGGGAGACACCTATTTGGGGAAAGATTGAAGCTTTGAGTTGAATAATAGAAAAGAAGATTGAAGAATTGGTGGGTGGGGTGTGTTGTGTTGTTGGTGTTCCAAACTGAAGGAATGGGGTCGTGCCTCTCGGTCTCGGGGGCATCATCGGCGTCCACAGATGAATGTGATGAACAAGAATCGACTCGCACGGCATTCTCGGATTATAGAACCGAAATGCGGGTCCACAGAGTTCCTGGGAGATTGTTCTTGAATGGTTCGTCGCAGGTTGCTTCCTTGTACTGTAGGCAAGGGTGCAAAGGGATGAACCAGGATGCGATGCTTCTGTGGGAGAATTTCTGTTCAAACCCAGACAGCGTTTTGTGCGGTATTTTTGATGGGCACGGACCTTATGGCCATTTGATTGCAAAGAAACTCAGAGATTCGTTTCCTTTGAAGCTCATTGATCAATGGAATTCCCCAAGCCCTGACTACACCACCAACCGCTATCGCAATCATTTTAGCACATTGTCTAATAACTTCAAACCTGATACCACTGCCCCAACTAACATTGCTACGCTCAGAGAATCTTTTGTCAACGCTTCAAAGATCATGGACAGAGAACTCAAACTCAACGACCAAATTGATTGCTCCACCAGTGGCTCCACGGCTGTTACCTTGCTGAAGCAGGTGAGTATGCTACGCAACCCATCTCAATCTATCACATCGCCTTCTCTTCAAGTTTCGATCATTCATTCATTCATTCATCCATCCATCCTCCCAGGGCCACGACCTCGTTATTGCTAATGTCGGTGACTCCAGAGCTGTACTGGCTACCAGAGATCGTAATGGTTCCCTTCTTGCCGTTCAGATTACCACTGACCTTAAGCCAGATCTTCCAAGTACCTTTCGCATCAATGTCTTCCTTTGCATACTACAATACAATTATACAATTATACTGTTTTTGCTTGATCCATTTGTCAGGGGAAGCAGAGAGGATAAGGCTTTGTAAGGGAAGGGTGTTTGGCCTTAAAAATGAACCTGGGATTGCTAGAGTGTGGCTGCCCCATACCAATTCCCCTGGGCTTGCCATGTCAAGGGCCTTTGGAGATTTTTGTCTCAAGGACTTTGGAGTCATCTCTGTTCCTGATTTCTCCTATCACCGCGTCACTCACAGGGATCAATTTGTGGTGTTAGCCTCAGATGGGGTACTTTCTTTTTTTGTTTATCCACTGATCGTATGATCCCCCCACTTGTGTTATCATTACATACATTCAAACCTCTTCAGGTATGGGATGTTTTATCAAACGAAGAAGTTGTGTCCATTGTGGCATTTTCTCCACGCCCTACAGCGGCTCGAACACTGGTTGATGCAGCTGTTCAGGCATGGAAAACGAAGCTCCCCAGTTCCAAGGTTGATGATTGCTCTGCAGTTTGCCTCTTCCTTAATTGGGAGTCGGACTCCGACGTAAAATCATCGCCATCATCTATAAACACATACCCATCAAATGTGGTTCAGCAGTCACCACCACTACTTCGAGTGGAATCTGAACGACAGTGCCGATAGTATCCATCTTTTACGTCAAGCCTCACTCTCTTCAGAAGAGGGATTATTAGGCTGCATCCCTAATTTCACAACACACTCACACCCCTTAAGGTTTAACAAAATTTCATTTCTCTTTCCCCAAATGAATCTCCCTTCATTTAGGGAACAGAATAAGGTTACGTACACGTCCCACTAACACATCTCACTTTTTTTTTTTTTTTTTGAGATCATGCTAGGAAAAAAGTTAGCTCAGCACCCACCAACAATTTCAAAGAATACCCACAATTCTTGTAATGCTCTTTTCTTAGTTTCTCAATGTATAATACCACTTCTATTCTCAGAAGACCTTCTTTATGATCCACAGACGATTTTTATTAGATACAGTGATCATTATCTTCAAAATATTATCTAATAATTATATATAACCCCTTAAATATATTATATTAAATTATAATATTTTCTAATAATTTACATATTTTTATAATAAAAGATTCATTTATTAAAAAAATATTATTATTATTATTATTAAAAATAATATTATAAATTATTATTATTTAAATTATTAATAATTAAAGAATTATAATAACTAATTATTAAATATATAGACATATATAATTGAAAAAAGAGAGACAATAAGACAATGTTTATCTCTTTGAGATAAACTTACTATTAATGTAATTAATATTAAAGAAAAAAGTCAAAAGTCAAAATTTAAGTGAGTATAAATGAGTGCGTCACGGTGTAAAAGAGGGGAGAGACAAGAAAGAGAAAGGGAAGAGAGAGAAAAGAAAAAAGAGTAAGAAGAAGAGAGAGAAGAGAAAAAAAGATTAATTATTATGCAAACAAAAAATATTTATTATTTTATTTTTAATTACGTAATGATCTTATTTTATATATTTATCTTTAATTATGTATTAGTTTTTATTTATATTTATTTATTTATATTTGGAGTCATATTTTATTTATTTTTAGTTATACTTGGTTTCTTATATATTTATTTATCTCCAGTTTTATTTTGTATTTATTTATTTATCTCTAATTACGTATTGGTTATATTATATTTATTTATTTTCCTTCCATTGATATTTTTTTTTATATTTATATTTATCTTCAATCTCACACTTGGTCACTTGTTTATTAATATTATTTTATTTTTTTAATTTTTTCTTAGAAAATAATATTTATTTATGAATATTTGATGATATTTTAGATGGAGGTTGAACTTTAGATATTAAAATAAGTAAATATCATTTAAAGAGAGTAATTAATTTTGAGTTCATTTATCTTTACTAGTCACTATAAAAATCAATTTCAATCTTCTTAATATAAAATAAATGGTATGTTGATGAAGTTGAAAAGATAATTTTATATATCATTTTGCTATTATATTATTTTACATTATAATTTTTCTCGCTTCCTTATTGTTATCTTTTGTGCATGTTACAACTAAAAATATCAACATAAATAGATGAAGACATTAATATGGAAGACGAGTATCATTGATAAATCAATTACTTTTAGAAGAAAGATACTTCTCAATTTTAATAATTGTTTTTTATATAGAAACAATGTAAACTTGCAAAGTTCATATATTTATATATAAAATTGTATAAAATTTATCTCATGTCTTACTTTTATCAAGATTTAATTAAAAATAATAATAATATTTTAAAATATAGTTAAATTAACAACGTGATAAAAAAAAGGCATCACATTACATTATATCAAAACAACTCCATGTGTGACCTGTGAAATGAGTATATCATGAGATCTTATGAACCCTAATTTGTATAATTCCAAATGACAAATAATAGGAGGAACAATGAGTTGACAAAAGTTGTACAAACTATCAGAGACATGATCACTACATTATTAAGGAACCAAATACCTAAAGGAACCAATGAATTACAGAGTTTAATTAAATTTAGGAGAAATAAACCTCCATAATTCTTTAGAGGTTTAAAGAATTGAAAAGACTGGATTGTGGATTAAAGAATTGAAAAAAATATTTTGAGTAATGAATTGTCTTGACAACCAAAAAGTGAATTACGTTGGATTTATGTTAATGGGAGAAGGAGGAAGAATAATCATTACTTAGGAGGCGTTTAAAACAAAAATTTTAGAAAAATATTTTCACAATTATATGAGGAGAGCAAAAGAAATAGAATTTATACAATTGAAGAAAGGAGGTAGGACAGTAGGAGAATATGTCTCTAAGTTTAAAGAACTAGAAAAAAAATATTTTACGTTTTTTTATCACCAAAATAAAATAATAAAGTGTATAAAATTTGATAATAGACTTAGATTTGAATTGAGAAAAAAATTGACAATATTATAAATTTTTTATTTTCCTACGCTTATTCACAAGCGTAGATTTTTGGAAGATTTTAAAAATAGTCAAAATAACATACAAAAATATTTTCGACCTCAGTAAAATAAAATGAAATAAAATAAAAGAACTATTTGTTGTATGGAAAATCTGGTCATATATTTTTTGAATGTCAGTAACAAAAACTACATTATAATCCTTACGCACCAAAAGCAAGATCTCCAATAAAAGGGAGAGTATACATCATCACTGTAACTGAAGTCTCTCAAAATAATGATATGATCCAAGATATGTGTGTCATTTAAAGTAAAACTTTAAATGTAATGTATGATTAATGCACAACTCATTCGTTCATTTCTAATGCTTGGGTTCAATACCTTTAATTGTCAACTTCCTTTTAAGACACTAGTTTGATTGTTTAAACTCCCATGAGTAAGTTTTTAATTACCAATAAATTTTGAAAATAATTTTTTTTTGTAAATTTAATTTGTCTATCTTTATCTCAATTAGATGTAATCTTAGGAATGAAATGATTATCTTTTAATCAAGTCCTTCTTAATTGTGTAGAAAAATTTGTAATATTTTCAAATTCTGAGAATATTTTAAATTCATCTACCAACTCAGTAAGTGAGCCTTTAAAGAATAAAGTTCAAAAATATTTGTTATTATATTCTGTGGAAGTAAAAGAGAAAGTTGATTTGAAAAATATAGCAGTTGTTCAAAAATTTTCTAATTTTTTTCCTAATGATATTCCTAGTTTGCCACCTAATAAAGAGATTGTATTTTAAATAAAATTGATGTTCAAAACTTGACCTATATCTATGACACCATATAGGATATCACCCTTTGAACTGACAAAACTAAAGAAACAATTGGAAGAATTACCTAAGAAACAATTTATCTGTCCTATTATATCACCTTGGGGAACCCTTGTTTTGTTAATTAAAAAGAAAAATAGAAGTTTTAGGTTGTGTGTATATTATCGTCAGTTAAATAAATACCCTCTTCCTAAAATAAATTATTTGATAGACCAATTAAGAAAAATTTCTGTGTTTTTTAAAATAGATTTAAGGTTAGAATATCATCATGAAAGGAATGAGGGGGATATTGATGGAAATGTCCCTACATTCCTAAGAGATGATTTTGATGATGATTCAAGTCAATTACATTCAAGTCAACACCATTTAAGATGAATTAAGGACAAACTGAATTTATGACGTTGGTGAAAATGTGAAACATTTCCCTACATGCCCAAGATATGTTTTTGATAAAGATGATGATTCAAGCAAACCCAAGATGATTCCTGAAGACTAGATAGATTCTGAGAATGCTGGATATGAAGGTACAAGTTGATGAAGTAATATTATGCATAAGCCTCCAAAGTACAAGTGTGATAAAATTCATAACATGATATTTTTCTCTGTCATAATCAATTATGATGCATCGGAAATCAAAAAATAATTTTCTCGTCATAATTGATTATACTCGGTAATATAATCAATTATGACAATTCAAACTTGAAAAATATATCCGTTTTAAAGAATAAATATTTTTAAATACATCATAATTTTCTCTATGATATTATCAATGTCCAACGACCATTTTCTCGATGCTATTTTTCTATTTAATTAATTTTTGATGAAAAATAAAAAACACACAATTACAGAATTCGAAAATACAATTTATATTCAATCAGTTTTGAGAAAAGAATTTTGAACAAGGCAACAAAGATATTTTACACCTTCTGAAAAAACCCTCTTCTCCACTGTCTTCTGTACTTTCATTGTTAATCACACTTGTTCTTGGAGATTGACATTCTATAGGCTTCTATAATTTGTTGTCTCCATTACCCAGGTGTGTCTGTTCTTATTTTTATTACCTTCATCCTTTGATTTGTTCAAAGGAAGTTTTCATCCCTAGTGTGATTCTAGGGAGGTGTTCATCCTTAGTAGGATTCTAAAGAGGTGTTTTTTTCATCCTTTGATTTGTTCAGAGGAGGTGTTCATCCCTAGTGGGATTCTAGGGAGGTGTTCATCCTTAGTGGGTTTCTAAGGAGGTGATTGTCTTTTTAATTAGTTTACTTTTTACTGGTTCTTCTGCTGAGTTGATTGTAATTTGTAAACTGAATTTGAAAGATAGTGAATGTGGAGTCACTCTTGTGTTAAGAGTTGACTGGAAACTGGATGTAGGGTTGACTATACCCGAACCAGTATAAATCTCTGTGCGCTCTTCTCTTTCCCTTATCTCTTTCTCTTTTCTTGATTATATTATCGCTCCCGCTTTATCTGTGTTCAAACAAATTATTGACTCACAAATAAATTTGTAATCTGACATCTATTTTAATTTGTGCATCTATTCACCCCCCCTCTAGATGTCATTTGTCTAACACATCAAATTAGAGTAAAAAGTAGAAGATATAAAAAAAAAACTATATTTAGAACTAGGTATGGTAATTATGAATATCAAGTGATGTCCTTTGGTGTAACCAATATGAATTATATGAATATATCGTCTATTTTTTATTATTTTGTAATGGTTTTTATAGATGATATTCTAATTTATTCTAATACTTTTGAAGATCATGAGGAACACCTTCATATTGTTCTTCAGATTTTGAAAGACAAACAATTGTATGTTAAATTGTCTAAGTGTGAGTTTTGGTTAGAAGAAGTGAAATTTTTGGACAAGGTGATTTCTAAAGGAGTGTCAGTAGATCAATCAAAGTAGAAGAAATTCTACAATGGAATCCATCAAAAACAAATTCGTAGTTTTTTGGGTTTACCAAGATATTATATGGAAATTCATTGAAGAATTTTGTAAAATAACTATGTTTTTAACCTAAGTCACCAAGAAAGGTCAAACTTTTGAATGGACAGAAAAATATGATAATAATTTTTAAAAGCTTAAAAAAAGATTAATCACTTCCCATGTGTTAGCATTACCTAATCCTACTGAACACTTTATGATGCTTTCATAATGGGATTAGGATGGATTCTAATGTAAGATAGAAGGATAGTAGCATTTGCTTCTAAACAATTAATGACACATGAGAAAAATTATCCAACCCATGATCTGGAATTAGCCACGGTTGTTTTTGCACTCAAAATATGGAGACATTATGTATATGGTGGTAAGTTTGCGATTTTTAGTGATCATAAAAGTCTTAAATACTTGTTCAATAAAAGAGTTAAATATGAGATGGATGAAATTTTTGAAAGATTATAATTTTGAATTACATTACTATCTAGAAAAGGCAAATGTAGTGATAAACGTTTTAAGGAGAAAATCATTACATTTTTCATCACTGATGATTCATGAAATGAGTTTGTTAGAAAAATTCTAAGAGATAAATTTGTCAAAAGAATAGAAAAAATTTGGCATAAATAGGATAAGATTTTGAGATTTAATGATAGGATATGTGTGTCTACTTATGTAGAGATTAAGATGTTAATTTTAGAATAATCACATAAGAACAAATTGAGCATACATCCAAGCACAATAAAAATGCATTAAGATCTTAAAAAATGTTTTTGTGACATAAGATGATAAAGGAAGTGACACAGTATGTAACATCATGCTTAGTTTGTTAGAAAGCTAAAATACAACACCAAAAGCTAGTTGGAATGCTACAATCCTTAGATATACTTGAGTGAAAATGGGATAGTATAACAATGGACTTTATAGTTGGCTTACCACGAACAACTCAAAAATTTGATTCTATATGGGTTATTATGGATAGGTTAACAAAGTTTATTCACTTATTACCCATTAGCATTAAATATTAATTGGAGAAACTAATTGAATTGACATAAGAGAAATTATGAGGTTACACTGAGTTCTATCTAGTATTATATCTGATAGGGATCCTAGGTTTATTTCTATATTATGGGGGAGTTTACATCAAGCTTTAAGGATTAAGCTTCATTTTAGTTCAACTTATCATCATCAAACTGATGGATAGTCATAAAGGACCATCCAATCCTTTGAAGATTTATTGAGAGTGTGTGTGCTAGAGAAATCTAGTAGTTAGGATCGATATTTATCATTGATTGAATTCACTTACAACAACAGTCTCCATTCTAGCATAAATATGACACCGTATGAGACACTGTATGAGAGAAAATGTAGAACACATTTATGCTGATTTGAAACTGGAGAAAATTAAATTTTAGGTCCTAACATAATTCAGCTTAACATGGAGAAAATCAGGATGATTAGGGAAAAATTGAAAATAACTCAAAGTAAACAGAAAAGTTATGTTGACAAGAAAATATGACCTCTTGAATTCCAAGAAGGGAGATCATGTATTCTTGAAAGTAACACCTACAACTGAAGTTGGTAAAATAATGAAGTTGAAGAAACTCATTTTTCGGTTTATTAGTCCTTATCAAATTCTCAGAAAAATAGGTCTTTATTGCTTATCAAATTTTCTTATCTCCTTTTCTACTCATGTGTCTCAATCAAAAAAATATATTTATGATCTTTCATATATAATAATGTGGGACACAATACAATTAAATGATAATCTTACATTTGAAGTAATGTTTGTATAGATTACAGATACAAAAATTAAGCAATTGAGGGGAACATAATTTCCACGAGTGAAGGTCATTTGAAATGAAATAACTAAAGATGTTATATGGGAATTGGAAAGAAAAATTAGAGAAAATTATTATCACATGTTTGAGTCAATAAAAATTTCGATGAAGAAATTTATGCAAATATGAGAGAAAGGTAACACCTCAAAATTTATCATGTAAAATATTCAAATACAATGTATTAAATTATAATATTTTTAGATCATTTAAATATTTTTATAATAAAAGATCCATTTATTAAAAAAACATTATTATTTTTAAATTATTATTAGAAATAAATAAATATTAAAATTATTATTATTATTATTATTAAAATTATTAGTAAAATAAAAAATATTAAAAAATCATCATAATTAATTATTAAATATATATATATATATATATATATAATTGAAAAAAAAAATACAATAAGATATGATAAGGTTATCTATTTTTGCAAGAGATAACCTTGTAATTAATGTAATTAATATTTGCCGGAAAAAAAAGTCAAAATCAAGTGAGTATAAAAAGGTGGAAGGTGAAAAAAAAAATAAAGGGAGAGAGGAAAGGAGAGAGAAAGGAAAAGAGGGAAAGAGAAAAAAAAGTGCTTTTAATTTTATTTTATTTATTTTATTATATTTATTTTATTTTCATTTATACATTCATTGTTCTATATTTATTTATAATTACATATTAGTCATACCTTATTTATCTTTAATTATAAAATAGTCTTATTTTATTTATCTCAAATTATATACTCATCCCATCTTATATTTATTTATTTATTTATTTCAAGTTACGTATTTATCTTATTATATTTATTTATTTAGTTTTAGGTATACACTGATCTCCTTTATATTTATTTTTATTCTTAGTTTAATATTGATCTTTATTTATTAATTTTTATTTATATTATTTAATTATTTTAAATTAAAAAAATTATTTATGAAAATTTAATAATATTGTAGATAAAACATAATGATGAAATTGAAAAGATAATTTTATATATCATCTTGAAATTATATTATTTTACATTATAATTATTTTCACTTTTTTATTGTATGTTACAACTAAAAAATATCAAGACATAGATATTAAGATAAAAGATAAATATTATTGAAATTCATATATTATTGAAAGATAAATATCTTTTCTCAATTTTAATAATTACTTATGATATAAAAGTAATGTAAATTTATAAAATTCATATATTTATACATAAAAATATATAAACATTTATTTTATCTTACTCTTGTTAATATTTAATTAAAAATAATAATTTTTTAAAAATATAGTTAAATTAATGATGGAACTATACAAAAGGATAGAGATTGCCTGACAACTAGACTTCTGTAGATTTTACTCTGTAGTTCATCATGTGGGTTGCCTAAAACAAGATAAATGAAAACAATAATGTTTGTTTGTTATTTCGGTTATTCATATTTTGACTTAAACATTCCAAAGGGCAAACACCTTCCAAAGCCAAACTATTGATATTATGGCAGCAGAAGACCACGCTCTATTTTGCAATAAAATAATTTATTGTCTATTACTGTAGCTATGGCAATGTTTGGTCATTAGTGTTTAGACAGAAGCCTGACCATTTTTACCTTGAATTCTTTAAGACTTGGCAGTAGTTTTATAAGCAAAATGGGCATAACAACTGCTATTAGAATTAAAAAAAAAAAAAAAAAACTTGTAATCGCTAGTATTTTTTATTTGTCATTCCTTTGACTAGAATGATGCTAATTGGTTATGAATCATAATTGGACTGATGTTAGCAATTTAACTAACACTTTCAAAATAACTTTACATTTTGCAAACTGATATGCGTTACTTCGTGGTCTAACACGGATGTCTTCTACCAGTAAAATATACTACTGCATACCTAATACCATGAACAGATCAGTCTTTTGTCCAAATAGGATCAAGAATAATATATGAAAACATTAACTTCAGCATTCATGTGCCCAAGAGGCTTACATTCTAGTTATCTAGGTTGCAAAATCATTAATGAAAAACTTTGGCCCCTTGCTCATTTTCCCATGTGGCTTAATATTCGGCTAACTATGGCCTCCTTCTTCCCAGAAACAGGAAGATTATGTGCTGTAAGATAATATTTCAACTCAACCACAGTCAAGTCCTTTAACTGCAAAACAATATCGAACGATTCAAATATCAGTAATTTTAGAAGTTAAAAGAAAGGAGCCAGCATGACAACTGAAAATTTGAAGCCATTATTATAGTCCCACCTAGACTGTTAAGATATCAGATTCCAGAAACTCAAATTTGAAGTGTAGCTAATTTCTTTGTTGTCTACAGTATGGTAACTTTGAGCCATAATTACAACTTTGTATATGGTGCCTACCGTAACATCGCAGCCAGTTTAGGTATAACTTTATTGCTTGTCCAGTACAGTTTGCCTGTCTTATTCTACATGCTTGTATTACTGTAAGAACTACGACAACATCATTGCTTGGCCTCCTAAGGTAGGTAACTAGGTATGTTCGTTCTAAAGATTGGCTTTAGGCTAAGCACCCCTGCTGATCCCAAATTTGATCAAATTTTCTACAAATAAGCACTGCATGAAATAACTTTCAAGCATACCTTTCCCGTATCAGCAAGCTCACTCCAGTCATATTGTTCACACTCTTTTGTAGCAAACTCTGCATTTGCTTTTCGTTTCTTTGAAGCTTCAGTCGGCTTCCCAATGCCTTGCACATTTTCCTCATCATAATTATCTCCATATACAGAGGTTTTGAATTCTTCTAATGCCCTCACCACTCCTGGTCTGCAGGTAATACATAAAAGTAGGATTATCATTTCATACTAACTCTTGAACAGTATATATTTTCCAATAAAGAGATAAAAGGTAAAACAGGATAAAACATATATATTTTCTTTCAGTTTCATTTTCAGTCTGCAACTAAGACTCAAAAAAAATACTCAATTTATTATGAAAACGTTGAGCTTACCTCGCCAAGCCTTCTTCGTCAGGTAATGTTTCATCTTTCATTTCCGGAATATCATCTTCTTCCAATGCCAATGCCTGCAATACAGCATAGTGTCTTTGCAAGGCTGAAAAGTGAAAAGCATTTTTGTTACCGACAGGAACCATAATATCTCTTTTTTTTTCATATGGGAATAATAACTAGAAGAATAACAAGACACATATAGCAAGCATATCAGTAGCCAATGATTATACACGATCAAGGAATCAAATCATAATAAGTAAACAGGAAGTATTCAGTAAAATGTTATTACAAAGTTAATATATTTCTACAATTTATTGATTCATTGAGTAAAATTTCAACAAAAAAAAAAAAGAGGTCCAATTCCTGGGTAAAGCTAATGGAATGGAATGTATAAATGCAATGCTTTAATGCTTTCAACAACAACAAAAATTTAATAATTTAACATTTAAACATACAAGATCAGTAGAATATTTCTCCAAGCAAATGAATATTATATTTGGAGAAATCTTGAATGAAACAGCTACTTCATTGTCTTGCAGTGAAAAAAAATTTCACCCACTGTCTTTATTCATTGTCAACCTGTCTGCATATTGAAATCATCGACATGCTTATTTCAATATCTTGAAGACGTTCCAAATAAACTGTCCAGAATTCAGGTGAGCTAAGTTATGTAATGATGATGACACTAGGAATGTCAATATGGGTTGTAACCCATGAGCAAAACTTAACTCACCATGGGTTCGAGCCGGATTGAGTTCGATTTTTTCCATTTATACCAATAATGGGTTAAAAATGAATCCGACTTATTTAACCCACAGGTAAAGCGGGTTCGAGTTAGGTTGACATGCAACCCACCATTCATTTTAAATTTTAAAAATAATTATAATAATTTAGTAATCCTAATTAATGTTATTTTGCATCTCCACCTCTATTCCATGTTGCCCCGCTACAAACCAAACAATCACTCAAACTTATCATCCATTGTCCGCCACACCATTACGTTCGTCGCTGCACCTAGGCTGCTTGTCATCCTTGTCGCGTTTCACTCGCATCACAACATTTGTTGTGCCACATCACCACAACATTTTAGTCTCGCGTTTCAGTCATACCAAAGCCTTTACCACACCACCACATTCGTCGCACCATTACATTCGTCGCGCCACCACACCAACGTGCTTCAAATTGCACCATAGCGTTTGTCGCGTTTCAGTCATGTCACATCATTTGTTGTGCCACCGCGCCATTGCATTTCAGTCTCGTGATTCAATTGTGCTTATTAGAAGAAAAAAAAATGAAGAACAAAAAAATAAATGTGAATTAGTGAGCCAATCCACCTAACCCACCAATCCATAGTGGGTTGAACCGAGTTATGAAATTTTTTGCTCGCCATAAAGTAAGTCGGATTGAACTAGCCTATTTTCAGTTGAGCCCGTGGTGAGTCAACCCATGTAAACTAGGTTTACTCACTTTGAAACCCCTAGATGACACAATGCAGCAGATGATAGAATAAATTACTATAAAACCAATGAAGCTTATTAGAAGTATAACCTGAGTTATAGGATACAGAATTACAGAACATGAAGGAAAAGGAGTAAGGTAGAGGAAGAGAGAAGAGGCTTACCAGGGTTGGTAAATTGGGATACAGAAAACTCTTTCAAGTCAACACGCTTAATTAAGTCAGCTGCCTTTTTTATTTGATCAGCACTTGCTTTAGTCACCATCCCACTTGTATCTAAATAACGCTGTAAAAATCATACACCACAACAATAATTCATAATTAAACAGTTTTCACTGTTTTTGAGATATTTAAAGCTTAAACACAAGCCAAAATATTGCAGTTCTCTCTACCTCTTCAACAACTCTGATGTCATCAGAATATGGAAGATAAATCATGTGCATTCCTGGCGGCTCAATCTGACAACCTAATTGAATAACTTCGTCCTAACAATCATACACGAAGTAAGAATCTGATACAAGCACATATTAGATGAATAGTTGAGATTATGATCAGATTGTATTGTTGACATTGCAATAATATTATTGTGATCTTTTAGATATAAGTTGAAATTGTGTTAATTCAGGAGTTTGGAATGATTCAAAGTGAAGCAGACACTTTGTTTTCTTTAAATGTTCTTCCAATCTGTCATTGAATCATTTTTTTATGTTGATGACATAATGATTGCAGGTGATGATATTGAATGCCTCAAACAGCGGAGATTTTCTTTGAATTAAAATAGCTCAGTCAAAGGCAGGCACAACGGAGATGTCATATTGTATGATTAGAAGAAATATGATCTGAATAGGAGAGTGGCATGTTGGATAATGATCCAAATGATACTCTTACGTTCCCAAATGGAAGCTTCTACCTAACCAAGTGGTCCTATTTTGATCCTAGTAGCTACTACAGGTTCTCTGGAAAGCTAATTGACATACCTAACTTTGAGATGTTGACAAGAATGTTTGAGTACAAGTAAAAAGATCAAAGTGTACAAGAGAATGCAAGACAATTATAATAATAAAGTAGCATTCTAAAATCAATTATTCATAAGAAGAGACAGCCATCAAACTAATATGTCACACGCAAGCTCTTAAAGTCAAGAAAGCAATCATTCATTACAATGCCAAATTTCTAGCATTCAATATATTGTACCTGCGCAATTAGAGCAACCAATTGAGGGCGAGAGGAACTACCACTAAATGCTACAGCAAAACTGAATGAATAAAAAACCAGAGAATTACTTTTATTAATAATTATTAATACATACAAGTCATTTAACAGCAGTCATATTGCAATCACAAAACTACAATATCAACCATGCATAAGCAACTAGCTAGTATTACAAGAGGATGCTTAGTTAATCTATAATATTTGTCACTTGTACATTTGTTTTTGTGTATGTTGACATTACCAACTTGATTTCAGTTGCAGATTTCACAAATACGTCTCTTTCCCTTTTCCTACATCCATCATGCAACTGCCCCATAAATAGAAAAGATTTGATGTTGAATTGATTCAACATTCTAGCAAATCAGACTCTAATTTGCTAAACAAATAATTTTACAGGAAAAAGAAAATGCAGATATCCAATTGGAAAGTACTTGATAAGAATCAAACAACAAGATTTAAGAATAATAAATTTTCATAATCCCAAAAACAAAAATATTGCTGTAGACATGACTAAAGGATGTGACAATACAATTAAAAAAAAAAAAAAAGCTTTTAAGGCAAGGAATCTAGGATACCGATTGAGTTGTATCATGGACCTATGAAGGGCAATAAAGGTGCACATGCTGCTGTCTGTACCCTGCAAAGCAAAGAGGCATCACAGGAAAAATAGAAAAGGTGAGAAACATAATTGAGGGCAATTTATTGGTAGCAAAGTTGTCAGAACAATTTGCATCAAAACAAGATTCCTGGTGACAGGATGCACATTATCTATGAACCAATGAAAAAACATCACATTCTATTGAAATCCCACCCCAAATAAAGATCCAGACCTAGAGTCTAGCTCAAAGACTACATAGACAGACTTAGAGTCTAACTCAAAGATAAATATAGGCTGAGTCTAACACAACCTCGTTGATGATCTAAACACACCCAAAATTGGTAATTTAGACATCTAGAACATAGACAAATACAGCCCAAAATACAGACTGAGTCTAACTCAGGCAAATGAAGGCTTTAGAGTCTAACTCAGGCAAATGAAGCTTTAGAGTCTAACTCAACCTCGTAGATATGTGATCTAAACACACCCATAATTGGTAATTTAGACATCTAGAACATAAACAAATACAGGCGACCGCGTGTGATCTTAAAACACCCATAATTGGTAATTGGTTACACTGGCAAATCAGGCTTAGAGTCTAAATCAACCCCATGTGATCTAAACAAACACCCATAATTTGTAATTTGTACATCTAGAAGATAAGATCAATAAGGCTTAAGTCTAACTCAACCTCCTAATCGTATTGTAAGGTGAGAATGACCCAAACTTTATACAGAGTAAGGACTATATTGGTCTTATAGAGTTGATGTGGGATGTCAACAAAGTCAATACACAATTTCACCAAAATTGAACAATGCTAAAAGCGAACTGGATAAAATCAGCACCAATCACAAAAGTTGCAATTAAAACCAAAAATTATTCTTGACTAAAGATGCCATCAACAGCTCATATATGACGAGAAACAGTAACCTCATCACTAGGATAAAGAAAAGTTGATGGCTTCAAGTTGTAATAATCTCTCAAGCAACTCAGTGGCTTGAACCCTAAAAGATGTAGATGTCCAGTCGACACTCTTTTAACTTCAGATAGTTGCTTCATTGAAAATGTAATATTCTGGCTGAAAAAATCAATAATATTATAATAAGAAATAAAAAGAAACAACACAGCCTGAAAATAGAATAAGGGCATTTGAAGTATTTCTACTGGCATGTATTGAGCAATTTCATGTCACATACTCACTGTCCAATAAAGCAACCCAGCTTCAACAAATTTTACAGAGTTACTTTTTAGACTGGATATCCCACAGTTGGACTATGGTTGGCTAGACTAACCCCCTTTTCAAAACTGCAACCATTTCTACCTATAAAAATAATCCATCCTTTCTAAAGTGTGGTTTTAACTTGAAAGGGTTTAGAAACAAAAAAATCAACAAGCACGTTAATTTCCGACAAGATGAAGAGAAAAAATTCCAACTTTTGTACAACCAGCTATGTTTAGGGAGAGCTGGGTAGTGTTTGATTCGTTTTCTATTTTCATTTTCAATTGGTATGTTTTCAATATAATTACAGAAAATGGCACCTTACTTTCATCGTTTCCTTGAGAAGTCCTAAAAATGGGAAACAAAATTAAAGCAAGATAAAATTTAAATTATTAATTTTTAACAAAAATGCATCATTTGAAAATGAAGATAGAAAAAAATCAGTTTTATATTCAATCAACCAACACCAATTTCAATTTTAGTGACACAAAGCTAGTTTCGTTTTGGCTGGCACCAGGAAGGGTTTGGTGGTAGGGAAATCCTTAATCCAATTTAAAAATTAGTCTACATTGATATGATTTAGAGGGTCAATATGATTTTAGGATTTTCATTGTAATTTTTATTTTTAAATTAAGTGGACTCAAATATCATAAGTACGGGTACATCAAAAATCTCTAGAGATGATGATCATTTATATTTTCTAAGTAGGAAATAATGATGTTTATAATTATTATTAAAACCAAAATTAGTGGGAATCAATTAGGCACTAGTGAGAATTATTATTGCATCTACAATTACAACAATTTAGCTTATAAATAGGTTATTTATAATCCAATAAAGGAGACGTTTGGAATTTTGAATGAAATTTGAATTTTCTCTTAATAGAGAAGTTTTATGGGCTCATCATAAGTGGAAGGAAATTAATACAAGAGACGTTCTTATTCTTGATGATCACAGTGTTTGATAATTAGTAGTTACTATCCTCCAAAGACCAGATAGCAGACAATCCCCCAACCCTCTGCAAGTAGTGCTTTTTTGAGACCCTATTCCTACAAAAAGCCTTCCAACACCATGATGCTACATTATCACTCTTACCTACCACAGCAAAACAAAGAAAAAAATAATTCTCGCCATCCTATGAGCCACTTCAACTGGGATCAAATCATAAAAGGTATTGCTGAACAAACACAACTGAATTGGGCAATGATATATGATCGAACATAGAGAAGAAAGCACCATTCCAGATATTGAAGTTCTTAGATACCTTCTAAGCACTGAATCCAAAAAATGAAACAGCCCAAGCATTATCACTCAAAAGATATTGCAACTATATTATTCACCCCCATACTTTCAGAAACTAAACAAAAACATGTCAGATCTTCCTTTAATAACAGATGTGTCCCAGAATAAAGAACTGGTTATGATCGAGATCCCATAAAGTCCTCTCAACAGTGATAGCAATGTCTTATAGCTAATATTATTTGTCAAATCCAATCTAAATAGAAAAAACTGAAGCGAAGAAAATTGTCCAAAAAATCAAATTATAAATAGACAGAAGAAAGAAATGTATACTTTTTATAAGGATGAAACCGTCTAGTAGATTCTTCCACCAATGCACCAGTATCACCACAAATGAATGTTCTTTCACTCTGCACCATCAAACCAGTTTACAATTTTCTTAAACAGTTCTAAGAGCACTCAGCATTATGGTCCGACTAAAAAACATATAACCAAGGAGAACTCAAGGACATTGTGATTCTACAGATAAAAAGCATATAACAAAAAAGGGGCATGATAATAGAGACACAAAAACAGGAAAATTGAGGCAGCAATTCAATTGCAGTAGCTTGATTTTCATGAAACTACCAAAATGACATAAAAAGAAGTCCATGCATATTCTTTCCCCGAAGTAATGATTACATTCTACTAATAAATTATAAAAAGTAGAGTCAGAACTAAAGTTATCTTTTTTGGCTATCTAATATCTATTTAGAATAATCATGGATAAAAGAATCATGTCCAGTTTCATAAGGGACATTATAACATTCTAATGTAAATTCTACAAAAGGAACAAGATGAGTAAATTCTCAAATTAAAATTGTAATGTTATACCATTCCATGGAAAATAGACTATTTTCAAATTCAGGTTATAAAATTCATTACCTTTAAAGGACGATTAGTAACAGAATCAAGCCATGTGATAGCTCCTACACATCACAAGCATGGATTGTCATTCATTATAATTTAAGCAAAAATGTATGAGCTACAATTTTCCAAATTAAAACTTAAAAGTAACCAAGACTTGAACTAAGAAAATGAATTATGAAAGAAAATATCTTCTATAAGCTAAAAATATGTATATATTACCAAGTTAAAACTTTAACGGGACCAATGGAAAATTTTGCAGAAGTCACACAGGACAAAACAAAACACTAGAACAAAGAAAATGAAGCATGCAAAACAGTAGCTTTTACAAGCTAGAAATTGACGTGAAATTCTTACCAGGGACAGTGTGACGAATTAAAGCATAAGAATTGAGTTCAATTGTTATCCCATTGACTATTGTGAATTTAAGTCTTTTGACTATGCGCTTCGTAAACATGCGTTTTCTTAACTGATCTTTCATATCCTCCAATCTGAAATTGAAAAAACTTACTTAAATTGTATTGTGATTAAAAAAACAACTTGTTTTTAATCCAATATTAACTACTAGATGCTCAAGATTATAATCCTATGCAATACAAATAAAATAATATCAGAAAACATCAGCTGTTTTGTTCAATGAAGTAAAGATTTCAAGCAACTCTAGGAGTTCATCCTAAAACTAATGAGAAACAGAGACTGCTGTGATATGTGGTTCACATTAATGAATTTCACATCTTTTATTGGAGAAATCTAACTAAAATATAGAAAAATGACAAATCACGTCAATCGTACAGAAGTATCCCTAATGTAAGATTGGAGAATCAAATAGTGTCATAACGTCACGTAATAAATCATGCTGGTCGAAAAAATGACAAATCATCTAAACCTGAATCTTTCTTAATGGTTTGGCAGGTAGTTTTTTCAACATAAGTCTAACTATTTGATTATGGGGATTCTAGCATCCTTTTTGCTACTATATATGGGTAGTTTGAGCCCTTAAGCCTGTACGTAAATACATATTTTTGTCCGCTTAAAAACCTAGAACAGTGTTCTCCAGCAGTAGGGTTTTGTTTTTTCTGGTGAGTGACTTTCTGATGGTGTTTTCTCTGCTGCCCGTCTGTGTGTTATACTGTATTATCCCTGCTTGCAGCATCTCATCTACCAACTTTTCAGCTTCATTTTGTGTATCATACCTATATGGCTATACATTGATAGGGGTAGTACTTAATTGAATAGGAATCAATTGGTCACTAGACCTCGAAGGGACAGGCCCCTTCAAATACTACCACAAACTCCCTTAGTAACCCTTGCAATTCTCGTTGCTTCCTAGTCATATTGGTAATTGATACTTGTCTTAAGGCTGAACTAACTTCTTCTCATATAGTAGATGGACACTTTTGGAAGTCTCACATAACCTGTCTTTATGTCATGTGGTATGGTTTAAATACCTATTCAGCTACTCCACATATTGCCAATTGATTTTATGTTAGAACCTTAACATAATATCAGAGTCAAAGTCTAACTTCTTTATGGTTATTGTCTTGAGCAAAAAATTGCTCTTAAAATACCTTTTGTCTGATCCGGCAGACTTCGTTGGAGGAGACGTGTTGAAAGTTTCACATCGCCTACCTCATGTCATGTGGTATAGTTTAAATACCTATTAGACTATTCTATATATTGCTAATTGGTTTTATGTTAGATCCTTAACAGACACCAGAAAATTCAGAATACAGCACAAGCAAAAGCCCTTGGAAAATTTCCTCCCATTACTTTTGGTGCAGATTAAAGGTTATTGTGATTTATCTGAGCCTTCCAACTTACCTTCATATCTCCAAATGTCACCAGCCATGAAATTCTCAATAGGATAACACCAACCAAAGGAAATCGTGAAAATCTTCAACTGTTGCAATCTCCTCCGGTTGCAAGCCCAGTTGCTTACAAAGCCCATTTGTCTTCTAATGTCTATCACCCAATTGGATCATAAATTGAGGAGTCTCATAGCCAGCACCTTCAGTGCCATTGCTAAGTTTTCTGAAGTGAAGCTAGGATTGGGTCCACTGTCAACCATCACTACTACAATCTACATTTTTCACCACTCCTTGAAAACTTCAGATTTTTTGGCCAAGTAAAAAAGCCTCCCATTGAATAATAAATCCAAGAGGTGTTGTTGAATCACCACTAACTCCTGTACTATATCCTCCTATTTTTTCTGCTTCTGTGTCCTATGTATTCTTCTTATCTTCTTCCTCTTTTACTTCCACCTAACTCGTAACTCAAGTGTCATTCCAAACACCAGTGTAATGGTCCAAACTGCTAGCCACATAGAAAACACCTGTCTATGTCCCTCCATCATATGCTTGTACGGTAGGTTACACCAGACTTGATCCCATTGCCTGTACATTTTACTACTATCTACACTACTGTTCACAGCTTTTTCAAAGGAATTTGATCAATGGTTTACTGAAGGAATGTGCTCTGTGTTGGGATGGGACATGGTAATGGGTTGCAAGTAGGTTGGGCTCCCCACAACCTGAGTCCATGGTTCCCCTAACTCTGCTCCCAGCTCCTATTATCCTATCACCATATATCTCTTCTTTGACTTATACTTGATGTATAAGTCACAGACTGATAATTAAAATGTCGAAGTAAAATATATAACAGGAGCTTCCCAACACAGGAACCTCCCCAAAACCTAAATTACCCCCATCCCCCCCCCCCCCCCCAAAGACTGAACCTTAAATTGAATTGAGAAGAATGTCTACAAATTTTTAACACTGAATGGAAATAAAACGATATCCTGTAGGAACTGTACCAAACTACTGTCGCTTTGATTCCATCCATGGCTTTTATTATCCTCTTAATATTGTTTAAAAATAAAGGATACCTTATTATTTTATATATTTAGCATAAGTTATTATAATAACCAAGCTTCAACATAGATGTGTTGCAAAAACATATCAGAATTCAGAACCACAATAATGCAAAAGTTTAGGACCATTTACTGACATCTCTGTATTTTATAAACCTTGTGAAAAGTAAAATCTAAAAATAGACAAAAGGCAGGATAAAGTTCCAAGCTCACTATCCCAACTAAACAACAATTTATGCGCCTGATACTTAATGTTTCAGAAGCATATAAGAAAAAGTAGAATGCCTATTTCAAAACATGGGAGAAATGAGTCAGAGAACATCATAAATAGGATACCATACTTGTTTCCTGCTGCTGGCATAAAGTCAACAAGATCATCTCCTTCCAACCCAATCAAATCCTAAAAGATATACAATTCACAAATAGTATGGAAAAAATATATAATCAGAATCAATTTAGAGAATAAGTTTTGAGAGGGAGGAGCATAACAAATATATGCCAAAGATGTGTAGACATACAGCATAGAATTGAGATACTTTGAACACTTCATTAGGGAAACTCAAGGGAAGAAGTTCAATAGAAAGTCCAAGATCCTGTGCATCCTTCATAAACCAAAAAAAGTAATTCAGAACCACTTGCATTCTTCAAACTTTATGGTTTTACCATCTATGCTGTAAACAAACGCATATCAAATTGGTACTTTAGCTCTCTGCAGGGTCATTCTTATCATATCTGATTTTACAGCCCCTTTTACATGCCCAAAAGGATCATCATCATTTGTGAACAAAAGTATGCGTTTATCAACTGTCTTTGCTGACCTGGTATAATTTGTCCCATTATCAGTAAACAATAATCACGTAGAATGACTGTAAGTAATGTGTGTATCATCCATAGCCTATATATTACCCTTTACGAAGAAGTGCTTGAGCCACCCAGATAGCATTGTATAGAGAATTTTCTCGAGTTTCAGACACAATGCCATGCTGGCTTCCAACATTTTTTGAAAATGATTCTAGAGAAGAGTTGAACAAACAATAGCCTCAGAATTATAAAATACATGATATACAAAACAAGACAGATTCTGAATCAAATACTAATCCTACTAAAAGTATAATTATCCACGTAATACACTTCATATGGAAAATAGCATTTCATCCTATACTTAAGCTTATAAGGATTCAAATAGATGCAACCTATCCTAATAATGTGTTTTTAGCAGACATAACCAATATAATCATAGGGTTAATTAACATTCACTGCTTTACTTTTTCTTCAACTTTAAATCCCCCCCCCCCCCCCCCCCGTAATTTTCTCTGCCAGTCATAAGAGCCAGAATAACACCATTTCATTAACCTAAAATCATTCCAAAACCTAGTAACAGCTTCAAAAAAAAAAAAAAAAGCAATAAGAATCTTCAGAAGTTTCAAGACTTCAAAAGAAGAAAATTTGCATCAGGTATACAATATCTTGCACATGTTCATACAATATCATGCAGTTAACTTAAGCAACATAAGATTGAAAGACAGTCAGTCAGCAAGCCAAAACATTAATCATCTTGTCAGTACTGATGGGACCAAAAAATAACAAATTTAAAAAGAGTACAACAAGAAGTTAGATGTCATCTCTTTTGAAAAGGGGAAGACTACAAGATATTTTAGGATAAATAAGGTCCACCAAAATGGTTGTCTATATCCACCACCACAGCAAGAAAGCCCGAAAACTTACCCTCTAACTGGTCAAATTCTTTAATAAGCCTTGCTGTTGGCCTGTCTAGAAACTCTCTTTCCGGAACAGTAAAAACAAAAACACTGTTTAAGTTTTGTAAATTCTTCTTCTCCCTCTGCAAAGATTAAGTAAATAACAAATGGGTAAAATGAGAGAGAATGTAAATCTTAGTTAGAGGAGCATAAGTGTTGTTCTCCAATCAGAATGGGAGTTTTACCTTACTAATATGCACAATGAAGGATTTCATTAACGACATCGCATATTACAGAGTTGGCAAGGTGAAACTTCAAATCTAATTGGAGTGCAGCATCTATGAAGTTTAGGGTTTAAGATTTATATAATTGAAAGTCAGAAATCTAGTCTTCTATTTTATAATTTCTACCACACACGTCAAGAATAAAGCCAAGCTTTGTCACGGTGCTGTCTTATAAGAAACCTAATTACTTACGGTTTTTTCCCACTTTATTGTCGTGAAGAAGAAGCAAGAAGTGGTGAGTGAAACGTACAGTATTGAAAAAGCATATGGCAACTTGGTCGTAGGATTTGTTAATGATTTGAGTCTTTAGTGTTTGAGATATACAAGAGATAGCAATGTGGAAGTGAGTTTCAACCTCCTGCTCTTCTTCCTGCCAGTGCCATGGATAGACAGTTTCGCAAACGCGAAAAAATAAAAAGTAATCAAATAAATGAATAGCGATAAATGAAGAAGAGGATTAACCGCAGGGCAAATGGTGTTGAACATTTTAGGTGAAGCATCGACCAGGTAAACAACGTATTCTTTGCTCGACTCATTTTCCTGATACAAGGGTTTTTTGTTGGTCTTCATGTTAAACAGAACAGAAACAAAAGGGAAAAAGAAAAAGAGAAAGTGAGAGAAAATAGTTTACGAGGAGCGAGAGTTGAGCTTCGGCGTCGTCTTCGTCGTCTCTGAAGATATCATCAGCGTCGAACTCCATCTTGCACTTCCACTTCGCTTCTCTTCTCAAGTCAATGTTGCTTCCCTTTGGTCTTCGTAGATGTCCAAACACATTCAGGTTTTCTTTTTATCAGATATAACACATTCCAGTTAAGTAATGAATTTCAAATACAAGACATTCAATTGCCTTAAATACTCGAAAAAAAAGTTTTCCACACGGAATACAATGAATCCATGTACCTCTCAAACTGTTCTCAACTCTAGAAGTTCACTCAAATATTATTTTCCCTAATTTTCCATGTTTCGATTTTATTAAGTTAGTGTAAACTCGTATAACTTTGATTATTGTAATTTTAAATACTGTTGTGGAGGTTAATATTGATGTTATGATAATTATGTGTGCCAAAACAAATTAGTATTGTTTAAATCTAAAATATAAATGGTTAAGTTAAACTTTCTAAGAGATATAAAACACCAAATTGAATTCAAGAATGAGGTAAATTAACCATTATACTTTAATAAATCACAAAATATCTTCATTAAATTTGTGCATGGTCAAATTAGTTTAAATAAAGAAAAAATTAGGAAAGTTATGATGAAACTAAAATAATAAAAAATGAGAAAGCTTAGATGAAGAAAAATGTTTGATATTAAAGAATATTTACATAGCTTTTTCTTTCCTACAACAAAATTTTCTAAATCTATCTGGAAACTAATCTCATTCCTCGGATAACCAATAAAAATAATCAATATTACCTATTACTTGCTCTAGCAATCATGGGTTTGAACATAACAAAAAAAAAAAGTGTAGTTCATATTTGCTTTAGAAGAAATACTTTTGTTGAGTTGATTAACTAATGTGATTAATATTTTAAAATGTAGAAACACCCTTTAATCATGTAAATAAACTCAAACTCGATATATAACTTCAGGTTATTTTTAGTTTTTTAAAATTAACGTTTTAAAATTGAGGTTTTTTCCATCAATTATAAAATTGATAATATTTAGAGCATACGATTTGGAAAGAAAAAAAAAACGAAAACACGTTACAGTTTTTCGTCCTATACGTGTTATAAACATTTGAATGAAAAATAAACATCCGTAAAAATGTAAAATTTTGGAATAGATTGTTACATAAACAATTTGTAATTATAAATCATATAAATGAAAATATTAGCAACATTTAAGGATTAAAAATCTTTTTATTTTTTCATTCAGAGACTAAAAATATTATTTTTAAACTCAAAAGACTAAGAATAAATGTACCTAAAATATACGGGAATAAAAACGTATTTAAAATTAAAGTTAATTATTTCAATAAGTCAAATTAGAATTTCACAAACTTTATCTAGATTATTCTCATGAATAATTGATTTTTCTAAATGGTGGGAATCTTATAAATATTTTATTTATATATTCATTATTGAAATATTAAAATCTTTGTTGAGAGTTGAAGAGTTCTGTATATATTTGGAAATATTATTTACCGAATTATGAAATATAAACATATAGCATATTTGAAATCCACACATAACACATTTCTATTTCTGTGTGTAAAATATCATCTCATAATAATAAAAATGATTTCAAGGTTTTGTTCTATTCTTATAGAAGTACTTTACAATAAAAATATCCAATTTTTTAACTACTAGGAAAAACACACTAAGCCACAAAGATGAGGTCAGTTTGAATGGAAAGGTTGTAAGTTAAAAACTTGTACACAAAAAAAATTATAAATATTGATAAAGAATGGATAAAAGTGTTTTACAACGCCCAAAACTGTTTTACTTTCGACTCAAAATTTTTATATAACCAAAAATAACTTAAAAATACAAAAAAATGAATTATCAACTATTCCTCACCAAATATTACCAACAGAACCAACCCATCATTGGCGACCGTAGATTACCTGTCTATGTGACAGCAGAAAAACGCCAAAGAAGTAGCATTATCAAGCCATTGCCGCGCTAAACCAAGAGCACACAATGGTTCCCATACATTGGAAACACCGTAATTGTCAACTCAAACAAAATATAGAGACTTGAAAGGGTAGACAATGAGGAGAATGGTCACTCATCCAATGGATAGGCCGAGGCACCAAACTCCTGAATCCACATCCTCTGAAGTCAGTGCACTAAACTCACCCTATCAATATCAAACCTGCAAACCCTTCAAAGCTCACAATACCAATTAGGACCACTCAGCCAACAAATGCCTTGGATAAATTCGTAACCATCTGCTTCTCTTACCAACAATATACACGCACGATCTTAAGATTCCGTGAGAGCTGATGACTTCTCTAACTTTTCCTTTTCAATCTCTCCTCTTCTCAGCTCAGCATGCTGTGTAACACCATTTGCAAGAGCTTGATAAGAGAACTCGAGTGTCTGGGTGAGGTTTTGAAACCCCAATGGATCTGATGATTGCAACACTACAGGCAAATTTATGTTTGTGTCAGACAACAATAAAGGGGCACTGAAGAAACTTCTAACATGTTTTAAGGGGCAGTATCAGCATACCTTTCATTGTATCGACAAAGAAAACAAAAGGATCCACATCATCAATTGGGGATTGCAACTCTTCATCATCACTAAAGTCATCATCTGAATCATCATCATCCTCATCGTTGGGCCTAAATGTCTTTGTCTTCGGGTGACATTGTAAACAGACAATAAGAATTAAAAATTCAAAAAGATACAATAAAATAAACTGCTGTTTATGGTTAAAAACAATTTAGTGAACACTTCTACATAGTAAATTCTCTACGGGCTGAATATCACTTTATGCAACACAGTTGCAAGTTACATTATTTCACATTTATATTGAATCACTGAAATGTATCGACTTATTTTAATACTAATCAATAGCTTATGCCAATAAAACAAAAAATTATGAAATTAATATACGAAATGACTAAAAATTAATATATTTTACATTTCACTTTATAGAAAGCCATGAATTACTTAAACATTTGATGCTCTAATTGTCTTTACACATGAATAACGTCTAAAATTAAATATCTTACCCACTGAAAAATAACTGCTCCCAATTTTGTTTTATAACTAGCTTGCTTTGCAAAAAGCAAAAAAATAAATAATGTTCTACAATTAATCAAGTTTCCAGAATCAAATTGTGAACCACTAGAATAAACATGTAAGACACAAATTCCATTATTCAGTTATTGAATTAATACATGCATACAAATGGAACTTAGGTTTCGTATTCACAAACCTGTTCAGCCAACTTTCTAAATTTACTACTGTCAGCTTCATCCCCATCCTCAGCATCAATTCCCATTTCCTTGTCAGAACCATTTCCATCCTCATCTTCATCATCAGTTTGAAAGTCATCCATATCATCATCATCTTCAGCTCCTTCCTCTTTTGCAGCTTCTGCAGAGAAAGTGCAATTGCGAAGAATTAGACGATCATAAATCTCATCAAATTAAAACAAAAAAGTGAGTCTACTACTGATGAACATGCAATTGCAAGTCTGCAATATCATAGTTACAGAGAAAAGATGACATAAAGACCTGCAACTTGATCCTTGTATGCAACCAAAAGATCAAGAGTGGCCCGCAACACCTGGCCAAGAGCATCTCCAGGCAATTGACCAGTCGGAAGTGCAAGTAATGATGTCAAACCAAGGCAACAAACTTTCTTGTCATGTTCCCTGCATAAAGAATATCGTAAGCTTATTATTAGATCTAGAAATTGTCACACAACTTCCATTGCTACAAAAAAACATAGAAGCAAAGTGAAGGGGGATGGTGAAGAGGCAGGAAAATACAGACCTCTTGAAATTAGCACGCAGGCCATTCTTTTTCACTTCTTGCAACATATTAAACCAAAGATTGAAGATTTCAGATGCAACACCTAGCTTTTGCAGTATGGTGAGAGTCAGTGCTGCATTGTAGTAAAACGCATCTGCAATCTGCAAAAGTTATTTTCACTTAGAAGGAAGGTTCATTATGATGTCCTTCTCCATCATTGAGAAGTTTGGCAAACTCAAAACAGATGACCTGAAGCTATTCTTATAGTATTCATCATGCAATCCACTATCCCATTATAGTAGTTTTATTGGCATGACTGAGCCATGACATTATTCTCAAATAATGACTAAACAGAAAATCCAGTTATTGATCATGTCAAAGTTTTGTATTTAAGGAAGTAACAGAGGCAAATTATCTCATTCATCATGATGTGTATCAATATGGATCCTCATAACCCCTTACCACTTGCATCAGAAGACATTTCAAATGTGATTTTTCAGTTCGATGCAGGCGTTCAACAGTAATTCTGATATATGGGTCAACCCATTGATCAACCTGCCCTTTGCAGTTCAGAAGGAAAACTTCAACTAGCTTCGGAGCTGGCTCAATATCATTGTCCTCCATATTTTTGTCTGCCATAACCTGCAATGTGAAATAAAAATTAGATTCATATGAACAAAGATAGAGGAAATATAAAAATGCATTTTTAACGTAAAACCTCTTAACAAGTGATCCCTGAACTAATTCTAATAAGGTAAAGATAACTAACTTACCGATGAAATCATATTCCACAGACTCTGTTGATAGTCTGGTTCTTTGCAAGTAAGGAAATGAGCAGTTCCCCTTGAAATATAATTGTCCAAAGGAACCAGAATATCTGTAGAAGACACTAGCCAAATAAATACAAAGAAAATGCAAAACTACAGTTGCAAATTATATATGCACACACACCAATTTAAAAGTTGGGGTACTATATGTGGACAAAATAACCAATACATATAATTGAAACTACAGATGTTCCTCGCCTTCCAAAAGCATAGATGTAAGTTCCACAATAGAACCCATTTTATTAAACCACCAAGATATTCCATTATTTGCTTAGCTAAGTTTATACTTAATTCTACTAGCTGACACCAAAACAACTCTAGCTTCATGTTAGCATGTATAAAAGGTCAACCAAGATATGATCCAAACTATGTGCTTGACTATTGTAGAGCAAAACAGAAATTGAAATGAATTGTAGCCAAAATGTAGCTGAGAACCATACTTGTGAAAAAGTCAATTGCCCAATCTGCTAGTGCTTCCATCATTAGTGGCCAAAGACTCCACATTTCCAAGGATATTGTTGGAGAGAAAAAAGTCATATAAGATACAATCTCCAAAACTTCTTCAAAAACCTCTGCTTGCATTTACAAGGAGGAAATTGACATGAATACAAGCAACAAAGTGAAATTAAAATTTCAGAACCATAACCTTCCTAACAGAATCTAACAACACAGAAATGCACATCTCATATGAAAACTGAAGTGGAAAGTGCAAGTTAAACCAGCTTAAGTTCTTCTCAACATCACATTATTTTAACACAAACTGAAGCATACAATTCCATACAAAGTTAAAAAAAAAAAAAAAAACAGCTGTCCAGAAAAGTCAACATGGGAGTGCTTATAATCACTTGATATTCTTCAAATATAGTTGAGAGCATCTAAAATGCTCTCATTAGATTATTTTTAACAGTAAAACCCCAAGCATATAATCATCCCACAGGTAAATGTGTAACACTATGGTCCAAACCATAAAATAGATTCACCTTTGCTTTAATAAATGTGTACACGTAGACACATACAAGAAGACATTTACAAGAGGGGGGAAAGACATCCTCAAAGTCATCAAGATAAACATGATTCATAGGGGGAAATACCTTGACCATCAGTTGTTAACATTCTTCGCATAATGGGAAGCAAGGTTGGCTCAAATTGAACAAAGAGGTGAGGAAGACTGCTCACTGATTCAAGTATCGTGCTAATAGCACGCAAACAACCAACAGCCGCAAGAGCACCTGGATCATCAGCTTCATCATCAGCTTCAGCAGTGTTCATGCACCTCCAAAAGGCAGCTGCCTGTTGCAAAATAGAAAATGGCAATGTTATTATACATAAGTAGTATACTGGGTCTCTAAAGAAAGCACAACTTTATTGGCAAATACAAATGTTTAAAAATGTATATTACCAAATTTTGGCACAGCCCAAGTGCATAAGGTGCCATTTCTTCCCCAAACTTGTCCACAATAGTCTCCAAGGTAAATACAAGGTCCTCGTTCTCAATTTCATTCATAAGTTTGAAGAACTCTGGATATATTTTTTGTCAGTTACACCCACACACCAAGCCAAATAATATATGTAAAAAGTACAGAATTTTTTTTTTTTCTTTTGCATCCACATACCATCAAGGAGTTGAGGGAGAATGGGTCGAATTTCATTCAAATCTGCATCAACACAGAATTGAAAAATAAGCATAATTATTGTAAGCTTTAGAAAGATTTATTAAAATCAAAATAGAACAAAAATTATTAACCACCTTTGCAAGCCTCGACAAAAGAACGCAAAGCAAAAACAGAATCAATGCGAACAGGAAGTTCAGGATCTCGCATTCCACCTACAACACACTGCAATGCATTCCGAAAATTATTCTGATCTGAGAAGCTAATGTGGGCATATTGTCCTGCAACCCATGCAGCCTATTTTTCACAGAAAGTCAATGCATAGCCAAAATTAGCAAGAATAGAAATTGAAAAATTCATTATTGATGTCTGGTTCAGATTTTAATTAATCTGCACCAACAAACATAAATATTAAATTGTGACAGTAATGTTTTATTTGGTTATAGATAAGCTATTTAGAACAAATTGCATCATTCCCTGGATTCACTGCATATTAAAATGATAGAGGAATGGAGAGAAGGGATTAGTTCTTCAATAGAGCCTCAAAACCCAAACATGTGGAAGTATTGTTAGGAAAGTAAAAAGATGACATTTTCATAGTATACATTTACTTGCAACCAATAAATGTTATATTTGCATTATCTTCTCCTCTAACACTACATTTATAATAAAGTTTTAAAACCATACTTTCTCTGTTTTTCCTACAACAGAAGAAACTGAAAAGATTATCACTTTCAATTTCCCTTTTCAGCATTCTTGGATTAAGAGTCTACTCTCATCCCTTCATCGCTGCCAAGTGGAACCAAGAGAAGAGTGCTTTACACCAACCATGCCATAAATAATAACTATGCTCATGAAAAAGTGTTATCTCTTGATTTTTGCATATCTTCAACCTCCAAAACACCATTATACATGGGCAATTGCACATCAAACTACAGCTGCTTTTAGTATGGGTATTCTGTATTGTGCAATGCAAACTTAGCCTTTTCTAAAAACATCCTGTTTTTGTGACAAAAAGTAGAAAAGGCAAAGAGTGAAAATGGCCAGCATGTAATAAGATGCAATCATAAACTATATATTGGACATGGTACCTTGGCCCTAAGGTGGCCAACCGGACTGTTGAACTCAGGAAAGACATGTTGAACTAACATATGCTCAAGCTCCGATTTGTACGGCTCAGTGTGCTTCAATTTGTCACAAAGTGCTCCAATGGCAAGAAGAGCACCATCTTTCTGTCTATAGGGTTTGTATTCTGCAGGTGTTTCATCATACCTAATAAAGTGAAAACCTAATTATAACACTGTCTCCATAATTCCTCTAATTTAACAGAAAGCAACAAATTTACCTTTTCAAAATTTCAACCATGAATTGTATAAACTTGTGGAGATTATCTTTCCCACGTTTTCGAATCAATTCACTCACAAAATCCATGGAAGCAGTTTTGGGACTATACAAGTCTTCAATAATGTCTGTTATAAAGAATTAGAAGCTATAAGCAGTACGAATGTGATTCCTTGAAATTTCATGTCAATGTCACACATTTCAATAAGACTTACCATAGCCTTTTCTTACATATTCATGTGGATCTTCATCCCAAAGCTTTTGATCATTGTCATTAAAGCACATAAGAGGGAAAACTATTTCAAAAAGAAGAACATCAAGCCGAGGTTGCAGTGCAGCATACATGCTATTCTTCGAAATACTGCACATGATAAAAATTTCAGAAAACTAAATTAATTCTAGAAACATTAATATTCTTAAAACTCATTAGCAAATAACAGCATTCAACAAAAATTCTAATATTCTCAAGATACGCAAAGTGAAGACCTCAGAAAGGAGGGATGAGGGTATCAAAGATATGTCAAGACTTGAGATGGGTATGGATTACATACACTTCAAGAAGCCATAGGTTTAAAGGCCAAACTATCGCTGTATTTGATTGTGAGGATGAATTTATATTTCATAAATATCAAGATCACCATTACGCGGGTTTACTAACATTAGTAGTTAATACTTTTTTTTGGTTTGTAATTTCAACCCAAACTCCAGAGTTTTATATCTAGGGAGATCAACCCTTGGGCTATTGGCCTGGTCTCATTTGAGGATTGCTAAAGATGACTAGCAAATATTAATTAATTAAATGGACAGAAAGAAATGATGAGTGGCAATAATTTCAAGAGTTATGCTGGAAAAATAGTACGAATTGTATGCAAATTCAATGTTACTAACAACATTAGGCAACTTTCTCTAACTTTAGTGAACTAGTAAAGAGACGGAGGTAGTGGTTCGGAAGCTTAGCTCAAACGTCCCAATAACAACAATACACTATACATCAGTTGAGAGAACTAATTAATGACAAACATATACCAATTCATAATCGAGACATGCAAGCTTATTTCACAAAAATGCCTTAACAGAATATGCATATCCCTTCTTAAATAAGAATATGTTGAAGAGAACACACCTATACACAAATAAATGAGCATAAAATAATCAATGATAACCTGTTGCTTAGATACTGAAGAACCAGGTTGATAACTCTGTCTGGTAAATAGCCACCAACTCGAATGACATTCAGCAGACTTAAGTAGCAGTCCAGGATCTTACCAGCATAATGCTTCTGAAACATTTGGGCAAAGGCTTTGTTTTCCAGGTTTTGCAGCTTCAAGTCACCAAATCTGTAACAAGGTAGTTTAAATACAAGTAGAATAGAATCAATCACTGAACAGGTAAGGTAATAATTATTAACCAACTTAATTTCACAACCTCAAACATACCGAGTATAGAGCCTATTTAGAATGTGAACTGTCCATTTTTTTACCTTCCACCAACCCCATGACTTGCGAAGCTCGGGATCGGCAGGCTGACCTTCCAATGGAACAGGCCTCTCTAACACGTTTAAAAACAGCACCATCCAAGCATTGAATACATTCTGATCAAACAAAAGCTTTGGAACCTCCAACTGAATAAGTCAAACCAATGCACACAGAATCGCATTGGTCAATTATGAGCAGTCAAGTGGAGAAAAGCATAAAAACAAGTAAGGCAACTGAAAATAATAATGCTATTTTAACGGTAAAAGAGGCTGCGATTCCCTCGTTCTTTTTCCCGTTGGTTGAAGAGAAAGGGAGAAAAAAACATACGTAGATGGAGGACCAGAATATTTTACAGATAAGCTTGATCAAGTCTGCAACTTCGATTGAGGGATTAGCAATTTGGATGAAGGCGTTAAAAATATTGAGGAGCAGAGGAAACGTCTGCTGAACAACACCATAAACAGGCGTCCTCTCCTCATCGGACTTGAACCTGCAAAGGTAGCGTGAGAGGATTACTGCAAGCGATCGTTGGCTCTTCTTACGCGATAATATGGAGAAGGAGTGAAACACATGCACACTCACTCGTATTTTCTAGAAAGAATCCGCAGCACAAACAAAGCGGCGTGGACTTGTTGTTGATCCTGTAAGTTATGCTTGATCCAGTCCAGAAGATGAGGAAACTGCTCCGGATAATCCGAATGGATAACTGTTTTGAGGCACTCACCGAGCTGCACCCTGTAGTAAAGTACAATTATACGAAGACGATGAGATGAGAAATAATGGAAAGAAGAGTTTCATGTGTAGCACAGCATTTTAGAGTACCTCAGGAGAGGAGGAAGTTGAGGGAGAAAGAGGAGAATGTGATTCCGAAGAATTTCTTTGTCGGAGGGTGAGACGGAGATTGTGCTGTGGTGATCGGGAGACCAATTCTTGGCGATGAAGTTCTTGAAATGGATGGCGGCAACTTGTCGAACGGCCATATCGCGGTTGGTGTCGACGATGATTTGGAAGAGGCTGACCGGATGCTGTGGGGCGTACTGCATCTCATCCAACCTCTGCTCAGCGCCCTTCCGTTCATCGGGATTCGGACTCAGAGCAGCTTGCAGAATGATAGCCAGATCCATTTCCTTCGCTTCGGTTCTGCTCTGAGTCTCTGATGATGAATCCGATGGTCACTGGTGTCTACACACTAACACTAGGGTTTACCAACTCGCAAATCAAAGGAATTTATTTGTTGGGTTTTTTGTTTTACTCAACAGATAGGCTAACAGGGTTTAGGCCTTTTTCACTCCAATTTAAGTTTCTTTATTTATTTATCTTTCAAAATATTTTTTCACTCTTTTAAAAGTTCAGAAAATCAAAATATATAAAAACATGTATTTTATTTTGTTTTTCTGTTTTCGTTAGTTTACGTTTTTATTAATATTTTTTGTCATATAATTTGTTATCAAAACATACAATTTATTTTATATTTTTTCCTTAATATTAATTTGTATTGATATTGTATTATATTATATTATATAACTTGTTTTTGTTATTAAATAATTAAAATCATTTTTCATAATTTTACATTTTTATTAATATTATTTTTTATCTTTTCAAACTAAAATTATTAAATAATTTTTTAATTTATTTAAAAAAAGTTACTTTTAAAATTAATAAATAAATAAAACTTTTTTTAAGTAAGTTATAACATGATCATAGTATGAGATTTGTTAAAATTATACTTAAAAATTTAATTCTTTTAATTATTTCAATGATATTCTTACCATAACTTACTAGATGTAAGTATGATGATTTAAAATGTATAATATGAAAATATAATAATAATAATAATAATAATATATTTTAAAATAAAAATATTTTTGTATTTAATATGTATAGAGAGAGAGAAACGGAGGGAAAGAGGTTCGAAGCGAATCTAGTCGGACCCAAATCACTATGCAAACCGGCTAAAACTTGTGTGTAGAGTCTGGAATATTGGATCAATTGATCATTTGATATTTTTGTGCGTTTTAAAAAATAAAGAATAAAGAAAAATAAATTTTAAATAATAAAGTTTAGAAACTAATGTATTTTAAAATTTAAATCATATTAATTTAATAAATATTTTAATAAAATAATATTTTTATTATTTTATTAAATATAATTTTGTTACTGAAATTGGAAAAGTGGTTCTCTTCAATAATAGGGCAGTGAAATTTTTGCAAAAGACTATTTAGTGTTCAAGTAAGTATTTTAGTGAGAAAATAAGTAGAACGTGAGTGAATTTAGTGAAAAGAATGGTTGGACTTATTGTGAATATCATAATTAAGTGGTGTTTTAGATATCTTAGTATTATGAGATATTTGATTATGATCGATTTAGATATTCGATAAAGTATCAGTTATTTTGGGAAAGATTAAATAAAAATAATAATAATTTTTTATATAAGCTTATTAATATAGGACAAATTAAGTTAATAGTTTAAATTAGATTTATTTATTATTTCCCTAACCTCTTTTTCTTTTCTTTTTCATCGTATGAAACTCACTAGCTGATTGAGAATATGTGATCCAGATATTTATGTTATATATTCTGATTATTTTCATCCCACAATCAACGCACCAACCAACCAACCACCACTTGACATGCTTTACATTTTAAAATGTTACATAAAAAAGTTAAGTAATTTTTTAAAGTGGATTCTGAAATTGATTTATATTTCTAAGTTTCTTTTTTATAATTATTATAGAGGATTTCTATTTATTATAAATATTACTTAAGTGTAAGTTAGAAGGGAAAAATATTATGACTATAGCCGTGAAAGTGGGCCACGCTATGTGGATCAACTTAGGTGGCTTCATTTTGAAGTCATATACATCGCACCAACCCATCTATCTATCTTTCTGTCTAAAGAAATGCATAGATTTCTCTGTAAATAGCCCATTTCACCCAACAGCACCCTGTTATGTATTAGGCCCAACCTAGCCCTAACAAAGGTGTTTCTTCCTACATCCCATATTCATCTAAAATATAATATTACCCTTAATATAAATAGGTTCTGGATAGATATTCTCAAAAAAAAATTCCAAATTCACCTTTTCGAGAGTTTTTTTAAAATGTTTCAGAATCAGTTTTTTGAAAATATTAAAGAAAACTAATTTTGTAACGCTTCTAAACAAATTTTGAAAAGGTCAATATGAAAATTTTGCTTAATCAGTTTACGTAAATATTTTTTAAAAGTTGATTCAATAAACATTTTCAAAAAGCTTTTGGGAAGTTCAATATAACAATCCAGAAAACCATTCTCAACATTTTTCGAAAGAATGGATCTCAAACAATAATATACAAAGGACCACCAATAGATTCATTACATTTCCCTTTCTGTTCCGTCACTTCTCTCAACGTTTTGCGTTTCGTCTACTTGTTCCACTCGTTCTCCTCCAATGTCTATTCCATCACTTCCCTCCACACCTTCGTGTGTAATATACTCAATCACTCTCATTAGGAACAACATGGATAACGATATTCCAAAAAGTGCATACTCATCTATATTATATACAAATAGAGGGAAATCTCAAGGAGAAACTTTTGTTACGTGTCTCAAGTAGAAAATTTCAAATAAAAAATGTAAAAAAGAAATTATTTGCAAAATTTACTACTTACCAGAAAAAAAAGGCCACATGTCAATATGTAATGCATTACAGCAAAAAAAAAAAAAACATGTCTCCTTCTCTCTCACACACCTCATGCATTTTATTTTATTTTCTTTAGACCTCATGCCTCTATTCCACTCTATCTCACCATCACACATCTCACACTAATCTCATCCATCAGCCTGAAATCTCATATCTCAAATCTGACACTCTAATCTCATAACGCATGGTTCCCACTTTCATCTTTTGTCGTTTTTTTCTCTTACAAACTTTTGCTTTCAATCTCGCTTTAGGATTTTAAAAATGGGCTAAATTGGAAACATAAACCCACAAGTAACCTACAAACACGATTTTGTGTAACTCTTTTCGTTGTCATCGATTTAGGGTTTTTCAGAAAAACTTTCTCCTACTTATACTTCATTTATCTTGGTAACATTGATTTAGGATTTTTAGACTGATGAAATCCCAACCTTAAACATATGTAAAGTAAAAATTGAAGGTTTAATAATTCATAATTTTGACTTTACTTAGGATTTACATTTGGGTCAAATATAGCTGCTTTTACTTGGATAAAAGATTTCAGTTTTTTATATCATATTTTACTAAAATGGTCATTTTTGAAGTGTTTCACATGTCAATAAGGAACTATATACATAAAAATAATAATATTTTATTATTTTTAAAAAACTTTGTCTTATTATTTTCTCCACATGATTAACGTTTCAAATTTGAATTTTCAAATTACGTTGAACATCCTCATTTTTTTTATACTTACTCATTCACTGTTTTCTATATATTAGTTATTATATTTACTTTTGTCATTTCTATATTATTATTCTTATTATCGCTTTTGTTATTGATATTATTATCCAACATGTCCAAATTACAAAAAGATTATAAATAGATAGATACATTGATAAGTGATATATATATATATATATATATATATATATATATATATATATATATATATATATATATTATTGTATTCACTTCTGTCATTTCTATATTATTATTCTTATTCTCATTTTTGTTCTTATTGTTGTTATCATTATATGTCCAAATTACAAAAAGATTATAAACATATAGGTACATTGATAAGTGCCAAAAATAAGCAAAATTGCATATGAATTTTTACACATTTGTTTTGAATTGTGTTTATTTGGTATTAATTTTCCTTAATCTAAGAAATATGAAATTCAATCATATGTTTCCAAGTTTTTTTTTAAAACAAAATCATTTGATCCTTATTTTGTGTATTCTTCAAGTAAACAGAAGGAGGAAAGAACTTAAAAGAGTAAAAAGAAATAAGTAATAGAGAAAAAAGAAAGGAAATTATGTCACAACTCGCTTAAAAGTTAAAATGGTTTCTCCTAAACTAACGCTACCCAGAGAAATATCATTTCTTGCACCATTCTCGCCTAAGCGACACAGACCTCACCTGAGCGAGATTCGTTCAGAAATTTATCAATTTTGGGTGTCATTCTCGCTTAAGCGAGAATAGTTTAGCTCAAGCAAATAGTACCTTTTTTCACTATAAAGTACCTTCTGGCTTAGGGAATAATCAATTGGCTTAAGCGAGAACTTGTGCAATATTTATATATCATGAGTCAAAAGGTGAAAAAAGGGGGGAGGAAAAAGAAATTGGGCACTGCAATTTATAACTCAAAGAGGCTCTTAGAATTTTAATGGTTAACATGAGTACCTAATCTTTTCTCTTGGAATTGAATGTAATCGATTCAAACTTGGATGTAATCCGATGATATTAATATATAACTTTTCTATTTTTATTCAATGTTGGTATTTCTGTTCTGTTTTTAATGCTTAATTTTATCCAATGAACAGATTATTGAGTGTGATTTTTAGACATGACTGGGAAGTATTTTTGTAAACCTGATATGGAAAAAAATACTTGATGTATTGTGATGCTAGGAATATATTTCAGTATATCAATTGTTTATAATACTTGAATTTAATGTTGGACAGTTTGTTGGATATGTGAGGAATTGATATTCAGGGGACTGATCTTATGAATTTTATACGTGAGGAATCAATATAAATAATTATTGTGTGGTGCATCAATATTGGTAATTTCATATGCTATATGTTTATATTCATCCAGATTATAAACGAGTGAGATAGATGAAATTCAATCCCAACTTCTCTTATTAAACTTTTTTTAACTATTCTACTGTCATTATATTACTTTCATGCAAACTTAGTATAAATTATAACAATCAATTATGAATAAAATGAATATATTTGTATATATGCCAATTGAGATAAATTATCTATTTTAATTGAACGTATTCCTTGTGGGATCGACACTCTTACTAAAAAATTATTGTACTACAGTTGATTATTAGTACACTTGCCAAGAGATCAACATACATCGAAATTATAATTTTACTTTGTATTGTTTATTATCATGTTTTATTATCATGTACTTTGTGAATTGTTATTTTTATTATCATTTGTTATCTAACGGTCAAAATTGAAAAAAGAATATTACTCAATTTCTAAATTGAATATCATTATTTTGCTATTTGTACAAAGATCATTTTCAATGCTAAGTGTGAAGAAGTTATACAACTTAAAGAAAGGATATAAATAATGATTTTAATTTTTATTTAAGCAATTACGACTTGTATTTAAGATAGATAGGTGTGCATTCCAAGATTATTAGATTAAAGAGTCTACGTAGCTAGACTTGTGAGAGGTCCGTATACTCGATTCGTGAACTCGACTCGTAGACTTGTAAGAGTCTATTTAATATAAAATATCAATTTAACAAAAATTTTCTCCATTGAATATTTATGAGCAATAATTACATTTTATTTGTTTTTATTATTTATAATATCTACTTTATGTTTTCACCCAATATTTGTCTTATTTCCTATTGCATTTTTACTTATAGGTGGAAGTGAGGATCTAGTTACATTGGCTTTAGAAGAATTTGAAACACTTACTAACATTTTTAAATTTTAACCTTTGCATATAAAATAATCATTACAAAAAAAAAGGAAAAAGGATAAATAGGTTAAAAAAGTTTAACAAAAAAACTTGATGCCTAACAAAATAGAAAGGGGTTGGAGAACAACAACGAAAATGATTGGAGATGCGCACAAACAATAGTGGTAATGTATAATAGCGAAGATGACCATGAATAGGAACGACGACGAACAAAGATACACGCAAACAATAATGCCATCAACAACGAGCGCGACTTGTAGCAGCGATGAACTGTCACAAGTTGCATGAACAACGATGAAAAATTGAGGCTAAAAAACACAGATCCACACTTCCAAAGAAGACAAGCCCACATTACCAAATGATCTAAGTAAGTGTCGTTTTTTGTTTTTCCTCCACACTTGTTCACTCACGTCAAACTCGCAAGTTTGAATTGAGTCTATCGAGTCTACACACGACTCTACCGAGTTTTCTTAGAAAAATTCTACGCACAAGTTAACTCGTGGGGTAATAACTTGCTCATAAACTTAAAAGGGTTTACGAGTTAACCCGAAGGTTTAATAACCATGGTCCACTCCATTAAATGTATGTTTGACTTGATATGGGATATTTGAAAATACGGAGTCACCTTCACAAGACTTGAGTCAATTTTTTTAGTCTTTTAAACAAAGTGTTAAAGATGAATTCCTATAATTTACTCCTCCTTGAAACACAATAGAAGGTCTAAAAAATTGTAAAAATATCTCATAGTCACGTTATATACGACATATTGTGGTAAAAAGTAATGTATTAGTCTTTTTATATTAGTTAATGTTGTTCATATTAGTTTTTAAAGGAAAAAACGTTTGAAGTTTTGGAACTTATAAAATATATTAGTCAAGATGATGATTGGTGGTATACCACTTAGTATCTAATAAAGTAGTATACTTGGTTTTAAATTGAAATTCAACATATGTTCATAGATAGATGAGTATTGTTTTTAAATTGAAGCATTATATTGATAAATATTTATTGCTTTCCAATTGAAACATTCTTAATCATGACATGTTTTGTCATATTATTGATTAAGGTTTTTTTTTTATATAAACAATTGAAATATCATGAGAATTTTAGATATTATTTTAAATGCATTTCATAATACTAAATTGTTAGCAAAATTTGGGTCACGTATATATATGATACATATTTAAATGTGTTAGGGTCATTATTTATTAAGCCAAATAATAAAGTGATCTGAATAAATTAAAGTTTTGGCTAAAGGCATATGTCATGAAAATATAATTGTGTAGAGACCATAGAGTAATTTTTAATTTGATGAGGGGCCAAATTGAAAATACTAAAACTTAAGTAATTAACCTAATTTTGGTTATATAAAGGGTCATGGTCCCCTTCTGAGAGCACACAGATAGAATACAGATATAGTCCCGTTCTTTTCTTTCTATCCCCATCAAGAGAGAAAATCCATAGGGAAATACAGGTGCTCTTCAGGTGGAAGACCATAAGATCAAATCAAAGGTGCTCTACAAAGGATATCGTCATTATGGTCAAATCAGGTACGCTTTCGCATTTAGTTTATATAACATGTTTTCAGTATGGGATTATAGATATATGTTTGATCATTAGGATGAAGATCATATTCAATTACAGTTTTACTATCAATTGGTATCAGAGCAACCCATACTTAATTCATGTTTGCATTTGGAATTAGATTTAATAAAATTGAGATTTAAGAATTCACGTGGAGAATAATCTCCAAATTTGACGAACCCTAAATTTCGAATTTGGGGTAAATTCCCAAATTCACAAATCCACGGTTCTCTGGTGATTTTGGAGGCCCCTAGTAGTCTTGATGTTTCTGAGTCAAACCCAGCTTCCACTTCGGATCCCAACTCGAAGCGCGTTTATTTTTCTGACCACTCCCATTATGTTGAACCGGATCCGGGGCACACGGTTGAAGATGTATACGAGCAGGTTTTCGGGGAACCGTGGAATGAATCCTCGGCAACATAGAAACTGTCACCGAGAATGGAAGGATTCGCGCAAAACTCGGTGAAGCAGAAGAAGGGTTCAACGGCGGAGACTGTGATGAACGGGTTTAGGGTTCACTCTGCGACATCGTATGGGTTGACCACTCAGGATACAACGAATCTTCTTGGGGGTTTGCCGCAGAAGACTTTATTTGATTCTTTGGACGTATCATGGTGTGGCTTCAACCGGTACCTTTGGATGGAGGTGAGAGTGAAGATAAAAAGAGGTGGGGCCGGGCCTCGATGCGCACTCCCAATTCTTGATTTCCAATTTTCTTCAAACCCTGGAACCTTCAGACTCACCATTTTGAAATATTCTCTCTCTGGATGGAAATTGGAAGGTCACGTGGTATAATTGGAAGATCCTGTGGAAACTATTAAAATATGTGGCATTATAGTATAATTTTTTTTTAAGTGGTCTTTAAGACTTAATTTGGTTTAAGATTACCCTTATTAATATATTCAATTTTTTTTGGTAGTTTAATATTTTTTTGTGAGCAAATTGAGTCAAGAAGTTACCAAAGTAACATCTCTTGAATTGGGTAGTTCGTGAAAAATATTGAATGTTAGTGTTTGTGTATATTCATGCGAGTATTAGTCGGCCCAAAGGAAGATTAATATTTGGCCGAATTGCACACACACTTGTAATGATAAACATGTGATAATTATAAGGATTTGCTTTGTCGATGATAAATCAATCCAAAGACTGGTTTGTTGTTGGACGTGCTTTATTGTCAATGTTTGATTATTACAACAAGATACCTCTAGCAGTTAATATTACTCGTCCAAAGACTTGATATTGATGGTGCATTGAGTGTCTTGAGATGGGTTAAACCATTATTTGAATATATATTTTATAATTATTTTTTTATATATAATGTGAGCATAATTAGTTTATTTCTTTTGTTCTAATCCAGCTTACAATTGCTTCAGTATCCGCCAATTTAAATGGTGTTCCGATCCTCAAAAGTATATTTCCTACTTTGGTCTGTTCTGAAGTTAATTTAGCGTCAGTACCTAGTAACACTTGGTGGTTAGACTCAGGTGCAACTACTAACATCAGTGTTTCTATAAAGGGTTGTCTAAGCTACCGGAAGCCAATTGATTCTGAAAGATGGATATATGTTGGAGATGGCAAATCGGTAGAGGTGGAAGCCATAGGGCATTTTAAATTATTATTGAGTACTGGTTTTTATTTGGATTTGAAAGACACTTTTGTTGTGCCGTCATTTAGACGGAATTTGGTTTCAGTTTCTTATCTGGACAAATTAGGTTATTTGTGTTCATTTGGAAACAATAAGTTCAGTTTGTCTTTTAATTCAGATATCATTGGAACTGGTTCACTTTTGCCTTATGATAATCTGTATTTACTTGATACTGTGACCACCTATAATGAAACCCTTAATACAGAATCACGGGGTACTAAACGTAAAATTGATGATACTCACTCAGGAGCATTATGGCACAGGCGCTTAGGTCACATCTCTAAAAATAGAATTGAACGACTTGTGTCAACTGGAATCTTAGAGTCTATTGACTTCACAAACTTTGATGTTTGTGTTGAATGCATTAAGGGCAAACAGACCAAAGCGAAGAGATTAGGTGCATATAGAGCTACAGACGTCTTAGAGTTGATACATACGGACATTTGTGGGCCATTTCCTACACCTTCGTGGAATGGTCAACAATACTTTATATCATTCATAGACGATTACTCACGATATGCATACTTATTCCTTATATATGAAAAGTCACAATCTCTAGACGTGTTCAAAACATTTAAAGCTGAAGTTGAAAATCAACTTAATAAAAGAATTAAGTCTGTCAGATCTGATCGTGGTGGTGAGTACTATGGCAGATTTGACGGGTCAGGTGAACAGCGTCCAGGACCTTTTGCCAGGTACCTAGAGGAGTGTGGAATTGTCCCACAGTATACCATGCCGGGATCACCTAGCATGAATGGTGTAGCTGAAAGACGAAATCGAACTCTTAAAGATATGGTCGGGAGTATGATTTGTCATTCCACCTTACCGGAGTCACTCTGGGAGAGGCACTAAAGACTGCAGCTTATATTCTGAACGAGTACCAACTAAAGCAACGACCAAAACACCTTATGAGCTTTGGACTCGGGCGACAACCTAGTTTGAAGCATTTCCATGTGTGGGGTTGTCCAGCTGAGGCAAGGCCTTATAAGCCAAATGAAAAGAAATTGGACTCCGAACAGTAAGTAGTTATTTTATTGGTTATGCTTTGAAAGATCCAGGGGATATAAATTTTATGATCCCACCTTAAAGATAATTTTTGAGACTGGAACTGCTACGTTTTTTGAGGATATTGAGTTTGGGGGAAGAATAAAATCAGGAACTTTGTCTTGGAGGAAGAATCGGTAACAATTCCAGAACCGATTCAAACAGCTTACTTTTGATAAAGTAAGTTCGGAACCTCCACAAGGTATTGTTAATGAACCCCTTACTCAAGATGATTTGGTTGTTCATGAAGAACAAACTCAAGATCCTCAAGAACCCGTGCATCATGAGCCAATAACTTTGCGAGATTCACTAGAGAAAGAAGAAGTGCTATTTCGGATGATTACATGGTATTTCTTCAGGAACATGAGGAAAACAATGGTATGATGGAAGATGACCCAGCTTAACTTCCGTCAAGCCATGCAAGGTTCTAACTCGAAAAGTGGATTGAAGCAATGAAGGAGGAGTATAAGTCCATGCAAGACAATAAGGTTTGGGAACTTGTCCCATTACCAGAAGGTATGAGACCCATTGGTTGCAAGTGGATATTTAAGACCAAACGGGATTCTAAAGGTAATGTGGAAAGGTATAAGGCTCGCCTGGTAGCTAAGGGCTATACTCAAAAGGAAGGGATTGATTTTAAAGAGACTTTCTCTCCGGCTTCATCGAAAGACTCTTTTAGGACAATCATGGCTCTTGTAGCACATTATGATTTGGAGCTTCATCAAATGGATGTCAAGACGGCGTTTCTTAATGGCAACATTGATGAGACGATTTATATGGTGCAACCAGAAAACTTTGTGCAGGGAGATTCAAAGAGTATGGTTTGCAAACTGACAAAATCCATTTATGGACTAAAACAAGCATCTCGTCAATGGTACTATAAATTTCATCAAGTAATTCTCTCATTTGGCTTCGAGATGAATATTGTTGATGATTGTGTATATCACAAGTTTAAGGGGAGTAAGTATATTTTCCTGATCTTGTATGTTGATGACATTCTACTTGCCACCAATGATATAGGCATATTGCACGAAACCAAGAAATTTTTATCAAAGAATTTCGAAATGAAAGATCTTGGTGATGCGTCCTTTGTATTAGGAATTCAGATACACCGAGATCGATGTCGGGGTATTTTAGGATTATCACAAAGGAGCTATATCGAAAAAATTCTTAAAAGGTTTGGCATGCATGAATGTAAATCCGGGGATACTCCAGTTGCTAAGGGAGACAAGTTTAGTCTCAATCAGTGCCCAAAGGGGAATTTGGAAATTGAGGAAATGCAAAAGATTCCCTATGCATCAGCTGTAGGGAGTTTGATGTATGCCCAAGTATGTACGCGTCCAGACATAGCATACATAGTTGGGGTTCTAGGCAGATATTTAAGCAATCCAGGAATGGACCATTGGAAAGCAGCAAAAAGGGTCATGAGATATTTAAAGAGAACAAAAGATTACATGCTCACATACAGGAGGTCAGACCAGTTGGAGATCGCTGGGTTTTCTGACTCGGACTTTGCAGGATGTCAAGATAGTTTGAAATCCACTTCAGGTTACATTTTCATGTTAGCAGGTGGTGCGGTTTCTTGGCGCAGTGTCAAGCAAACCCTTACAGCTTCATCCACTATGGCAGCAGAATTTGTAGCATGCTATGAGGCGTCGAATCATGGAATATGGCTGAGAAATTTTGTCACAGGGCTGCAAATTGTGAAAGGGATTGAAAGACCACTTAAGTTATATTGTGACAACAAATCAGCTGTATTGTATTCCAACAACAACAGAAGTTCGACTAAGTCAAAGCACATCGACATTAAGTTTCTAGTTGTTAAGGAAAGAGTACAAAGTGGACAGATTTCCATAGAACATTTAGGGACAAACTCCATGATAGCAGATCCTCTAACTAAAGGACTTCCGCCCAAGGTCTTTCATGAGCATGTTGCTCACATGGGTGTTTTACAGTTTGAGGAATTTGTGGTTTAATGGGAGTTAGTCATTTTCATATATTTTATGTTCTATGTTTAATTTTATATATGTATACATTGTTTTTTGGACATATTTGGTTATCTATAGATATGCGGTTTTCTTGTTCATTCATTACACTTTGTACATTAAGGTTATTGTATCGATCTCGATAAGTTAAAGTTTGGACCAGTTGAAAATAGACGTGTACAGATCACCTTCACGTAATTTTTCATGCTACACATTTCATGATGAATCCATGTCATTTGGTTATGTCAGGATGAGTAATCTTGTTGGTTTTAGTTGCGATGATGCAATGAAAAGCTGGTCTGGTTCTATATCCTGATATGATTAATGGACAGGACTTTTGAATATGCTAAAGGAATATAATGACATTTTTGAGCTCATAAAGTCTAACACATTTGTAAGGTTGTAAGGACATATATATTTGTGACCAGTGGGAGATTGTTAGCAAAATTTGGGTCACGTATATATATGATACATATTTAAATGTGTTAGGGTCATTATTTATTAAGCCAAATAATAAAGTGATCTGAATAAATTAAAGTTTTGGCTAAAGGCATATGTCATGAAAATATAATTGTGTAGAGACCATAGAGTAATTTTTAATTTGATGAGGGGCCAAATTGAAAATACTAAAACTTAAGTAATTAACCTAATTTTGGTTATATAAAGGGTCATGGTCCCCTTCTGAGAGCACACGCACGTAATACGGATATAGTCCCGCTTCTTTTCTTTCTATCCCCATCAAGAGAGAAAATCCATAGGGAAATACAGGTGCTCTTCGGTGGAAGACCATAAGATCAAATCAAAGGTGCTCTACAAAGGATATCGTCATTATGGTCAAATCAGGTACGCTTTCGCATTTAGTTTATATAACATGTTTTCAGTATGGGATTATAGATATATGTTTGATCATTAGGATGAAGATCATATTCAATTACAGCTTTACTATCATAAATATCATAGATGAGAGATACTTTTTATATAGTAACGTGTCATCTTACTAGAGATAGTGGAAGTAATTTTGATGTAACAAAGACACTTTCTTCAAAGAAGTTGTAGAAAAATTATCAATATTGAGAAATAACAAACGAAATAATTATTGTTTTATGGAATTTTTTGTTTTATTTTTTTATTTATGTTTAAATAATGTTGTGAAATTTTATTTTTGAATTTTCTTGTATATTTGTGATACATGCATACTAAAACATTTATAATATTTATTTATTATTCAACACATAAATACATATGTTCTAAATAATTATTTAAAGAATTATTAGAGGTATGCTTACATCGTTATTTATGAAAACAAAGAATATGTTATTTTTCTACATATAGAAGATGTTTTTTATTTTATTTTTTCTATCTAAATTTTAGGATTTCTGAAAGTATGAAGTGGATTAAATCAATTGTTCTATTTATAAATAAAATATCGAAAACAAGTTCTTCAACTTGCTCTTAGAAATATAATAAAAAATCTAAAGATTATAAAGAAGTGTAATATTTTCATAATATTTAATAGCTCAAAGATTGTAATAATTTATTCATTGTCTTATATAAATAAGAAAATACATTTGTACTTTATATTACTATCAAACATATTGTGGATGATGCACAAATTGAAAGTGTAATAAACATGTTATGAATGTGATGTCTAAGTACATTTAAATTCTAATTTTATTTTGCATTATGTACTTTCATGTTTTATTATCATGTACATTTTTAAACTGTTATTGTTATTTGCTATCTAACGTGTCCAAATTGCATAAAGAATATCACTTTGTTTTCGAACTAAATACCACTATTTTGTTACATGTACAATGATCATTTTCAATCCTAAGTGTGAAAAAGATAAACAATTAAAAAAAATATAAATCACAATTTTAACCTTTAAGTTTAAGCTATTACAACTTACATTTAAGTAGGTAGGTGTCCATTCCATTAAATGAATGTTTTTCTTGATGTAGAATATCTAAAAAAATAGAGTCACCGAGTCAAAATTTTGAATCTTCTAAATAAAACGCTAAAGATGATATAAAGATTCGTTTATATCATTAATATATTTATATTTAAATTTGGTAGTTGATGAATTCATGATCAGAGGTAAGAATTTATTCATTCATTTATAAAGTGACTTTCATTTACATTATTTTGTTCAACTAAAAATAAACTAATTACATAATTTTTTATACCATAATTTGAAGGTAGAGTACACATTATTTGCACAATATGCTCATAAGTTACTTGCAAAAGATATTCATAGTTGTATTAATTGTATAAATATAATTATTTTCTAAATACAACTTCAAGGTGTCCAAGTCCAAAGCTATAATCTTATGTATTTTTTTCAAATGTTATGCTCTTTTCTATGTATGATGTTTAGGAATGTAGATTCACCGTCACAAAGATTGATCTAACTTTTCTTTGTATTTGTTCATTATATTTCATTGAACTTCATATTCTAATTGATTGTGTGATTGTTAATAGGTTGGTAAACTAGATCCATTCTTGGCCTTTAAAGAAAATCAAAATAATGTCAATGTATAATTTGATAAAGTGAATATTTTTTAAGGTCTTTTTTTTACTATAATTACTTATCTTTTTAATGATGAAAGTAATTAACTAATATTTAATGTTTTAGTGTTACTTCAAATAGGGTGTAAAAAAGAATATTTAAAGGTAATTGTACTTTAGTGTTTTGTATAGATAAGTAGAAAATTATAACTATTTTCTATGTTTTTATATGTTAACATGTTGATGAAACAAATATATTCCTCACTTTTGAAGATGTTCAAAATGGTGAATTCTTTGATAAAATAAAAATGAAATACAAATAAGGTATTTTCATTATAAAGGTTCTCATGTTATATTTATTTAATATTTGATTCTTCATTGTAATTTTAATTTTATATTAAATATATATAAGGTGTCACCTTTTTCTATTTTATACTAAATATATAACAAGATTAAACAAATTATATGATTTAAAAAAAACTTTCTATTTTATTGTGAATTTTAAATTTTTTAATTATTGTTATAATATTTTTAAATATATTTTTTTGAATTTATTATATTTCAATTAATTTAATCAATATTTAATTTTCTGTCAAGTAATAAGATTAAATTTAATTATATATAAGAAATTAAAATTTAATTAAAATTTTTGTTAAACATTTTATCTAAAATTTAAAATTTTAATAAATAATAGATAAATTAATATTATTTTATTAATTTTACACGTCAATGTAAAATTTAAGCGTAAAATAGATTTTTTATACAATTATTGGTTAAATATATAAAATATATTATCTTTTATTATTAAAAGATAAGTATTAATTATTTGTAATTGAATATTTAAATTTATATATATATATATATATATATATATATCCATTTCATTAATATATATATATATATAAATATATTTAATATATATATATATATATATTAAATATATATAATATGTATATTAAATAACATGTATTGATAATTATTATTTATTGAAATTTAATAATAAATTTGTATGAGTTCCGGGTAATAAAATTAGTAAATATACAGATAATATATATATAATAGTTTTGTCATTCAATATTGTGGTAATGTTAAACTTGAATTGAGTCCAAATTAAACGGAGAGATGGGTTAAAAAAGAGGGTAATTTTTGGTAATCGACACCGTTTCCTGGTGAGGAAGATAAAATTTGAGAATGCATTTATCACACCTAATACATTTGTGGAATACATCGAATCCTCGTCTTCCTGAAACTGTGTATGGAATATACTATATTTCCACACTTGCATCAAACTCTCTAAGGAATTTATGAAAAAGATGATGGTGATTTATGAAAACGTGGTTATGTGTTACGGAAGGACATGGTGCGAGATTTACAATGGAAGAGTTTGGTAGGAGTGTCACACCTTGCAATAATGATGGAAGGAGGGGTCGGGGACTATTTAAAGGACGCATCGGGGAGGGTTATACCATCAAGCACACAACAGAAGAAGGAGAAAGAGAAGACGATTATCCAGAATGAAGATGAGCGTGAAAATGATGGTGGTGGTGATGACGGTGATGCTGGTGCTGATTGGGAGTCGCATCAACGCGCTGACGGTGTGCAATGTGTCGGTGGAAGATCTGACCAAGTGCAAGCCGGCGGTGACGCCCCCAAATCCCTCGGAGCCGACCGAAGAATGCTGTGCGGCGATCAAAAAGGCAGACTTGAAGTGCCTTTGCAGTTACAAGGACGCTCCTGCTGTTGGAATCGATCCAAAACTGGCCATTCAACTTCCTGTCAAGTGCCACGTTCCTAACCCTCCCTCCTCCTGTTAGCTTCATCTCGCCATTACTATTTCATGATCGAATAAAATCCCTTACTATTCTCATCTACCTCCTACGTCCTAATATTAAAGTTTTTTATAGTATTTTTTTAATTAAAGTTAAGTGATCATCACACACCTACTATACTTTCTACTATTAAAATTAATTTTTAATTTTATATAATAATTAATATTTTATTAAATAAATTTAAAAAATTATTTACTTTGTATGAAATATTTTTTATATTTAATAATTTAATTTAATTGATTAATATTTATAATTTAAATTATAATATATTTATATATTTTAATAATATAATAAAAAATATTTATTTTTATTTTAATATACAAATATCTTTTTTAATGAATAAATTCATCTTATCCCATTTTTAATTTTTTGGAATAACATATTAAGCAAAATAAATCAAAATAAATTGACAAATTAGATCTATCATACCTCCTCTATTTTTAAGATGGAGTGGTGAGAGACTCGAATATCTCTAACTCATTTTATCATTATTAAATAAATTTTAACTTAGTAAGTAATTTTGGATAAAAGATGTCAGATTATAAAATAAAAACTTGAATCTTTGAAATCATTATGTCGTATATGGACCATTTTAATAAATAATATTTTTAAAATTTTATATAAAAAATTGATTTATAATCATTTTATTAAAAATATATAAAATGGTTTCCTATTTCAGGATTCTAGCTCTATTAAGGGGATAAAATTTGTTACAAATTGTTTTTGGTGTCCACTTTTATATAAATCTATTTTTCTTTAGTTTGTTGAATAAGAATAAATAAACAAATAAATACATAATAATATGTAATGAAACCACGTAACTTCTCTACTTATAGTACAATAATGTTTCCATAGGCTTGACATAAAAGTTACCATGTGAAAAGATGAAAGATATATATATATAGAAAAACTACACAAATAGTCATTAAGAAGAATTAATTATATAAATGGTACACTATTTCTTTCTGCTGCATATTTCCTTTCCCATTTTCGTTAATTTCTTTTAATCATTCAACGCCCTACTCTATTTGAATTGTAGAGCAAAAGAAGAGTAAAGAGAAAAGTACATGTATACAAAAAAGTATTGTAAATGGTTTCTAAACTTTTTTGACAAAAATCGTTGTCTCATACGCATCCTATAACGAATAAGAGACCAATACTCTCAAACTGTACTTTGATTGAGTTATGAACTGCATTATAGAATAAAAAACACAAATAATTATAGCAAGAAGCGAAACTATGATTATTCTGTCCTCACAAAAACATTACTAAATGAACGTGATATCATGATAGAACTTTCTTGGTTTTGTTTGTTATTTCAGAAGCACCCAATTCCAAAAATGAAACATGTCAGAAGAGATTGCGACTACATTATTCACCCCCATACTTTCAGAAACTACACAAAAACATGTCACTAGAAAATGACATGAAATTCTTACCAGGGACAGTGTGACGAATTAAAGCATAAGAATTGAGTTAAATTGTTCTCCCATTGACTATTGTGAATTTAAGTCTTTTGACTATGCGCTTCGCATGCGTTTTCTTAACTGATCTTTCATATCCTCCAATATGAAATTGAAAAAGTTAGACTTAAATTTGTATTGTGATTAAAAGAACAACTTGTTTTGAATCCTATATTAACTACTAGATGCTCAAGATTATAATCCTATGCAATAGAAATAAAATAATATCAGAAAACGTCATTTGATTTGTCAATGAAGTAAAGATTTCAAGCAATTCTACGAGTTCATCCTGAAAATGATTGACGGTTTCCACTGTGATATGTTGTTCACATGATTAAGTCAAAGTTACTTAGTTAATTCTGTTGTTAGTTTTTTTTGTTATTCATTTTTAGATTTCATGTTACCACTGTATATATAATTATAACACTTTTTAAATAAGTGATATACACTAGTTATGCAGTTTCAATTCACTGCACTTTATCTCTGCATGTACCCTCTAGTTTAACATGGTATCAGAGCAAGGTTTTATTGAGAACCTGAACATGACTGGAATGGGGAGTATTATACAGGGAAGCTTGCCCGTATTTGATGGCAAAATGTTTGATGAATGGAAGATCAAGATGCTTGCGGTATTTGGCTTCCAAGATGTGGCCGAAATTATCCAAGAAGGTGTAGGAGAGTTTGGCAGCAAGGCATCTGAAGAAGAGAAGAAGTACTTTAAGCAACAACAGAAATTGGACAGTAAAGCTCGGTTCTTACTGTACCAATGTGTGAGCTCCAAAATCTTTAACAAAATCTGCAAAGCTGCGATAGCTAAATAGATATGGAAAATCCTATTAAAAACGTATGGTGATGGAGATAAACATAAAAAGGTGAAGTGACAAGCATTGAAAAGGAGATTTGAATTACTCATAATGGCAGAAAATGAATCCGTGGCATATTATTTTGATAAAATTCAAGAATTGGTAAATGCTATGAAGGCATGCAGTGATCGAGTTACAGACCAACAAATTGTACACAAGGTTTTGCGGTCCCTCCCCTCAAAATTTGATCATTTGGTGATAACGATAGAGGAAACCAAAGATCTTGAAACTCTTGAAATTGAAGAACTTTAACATTCTTTAGAAGCTCATGAATTCAGAATAAGCAAAAGGAAATTGGTCCTGGATCAAGCCTTGCAGGCCAGAACGGGTTATAATGGGAAGTTCAAGAAGGAAAAAAAAAAAGATAAGAAGAATTGGAAGGGGAACAAACAAGAAACTGGATCTGAACAGTCTGGGAAGGAAAAGAATGAAAATGCAGGAGAACCGAATGGGGACAAAACCTGGAAATTTGACAAAAGGAAGGTTTGTTGCCACAATTGTCAAAAATTGGAACACTTTACTCGTGAATGTTGGTATAATGAAGGAGGGAAAAACAAGCCAAAGACTCAAGCCAATCTTGCACAAGATGAAGCGTTAGACTCAGAAGTAGTGATGTTGATGGCTCAAACGAGTTCTGACATGAAAAAAGAAGCCTCTTGGTACTTAGATTCTGGCTATTCCACACATATGACCGACAGGAAAGATTGATTTGTGAAAATGGAGGAAACATCTCACGGGAAAATTCGCTTTGCAGATAACATCAGTTTGACTGCACAAGGAACTGGGAGAGTTGTATTAAAAGATGATGATGGCCGAGAAATAATTGTAGAAGAGGTGTTGTATGTTCTAGGCCTGAAAACAAACTTGCAGACCTCTTTACCAAAGTCTTTAAAGCGAAAAGATTCAAATGGTTAAGAGATGAAATTGGAGTTGTGAGTATGAAGACAACTTTGACTTAAGGAGGAGTGTTGAGATTGAGTCAAAGTTAGTTAGTTAGTTAATTCTGTTGTTAGTTTCTTTTTGTTATTCATTTTTAGTTTTCATGTTACCATTGTATATATAATTACAACACTTTGTAAATAAGTGATGTACAGTGAATAATATAGTAGTTATGCAGTTCCAATTCACTGCACTTTATCTCTGCATGTGCCCTCTGGTTTAACAAATTTCACTGAAGAAATCTAACTAGAATATAGAAAAGACATGCCAATCGTACAGAAGTATCCCTAATGGAAGATTGGAGGATCAAATGGTGTCATAATGTCACGTTGTAATAAATATCACGCCAGTTGAAAAAATGACAAATCATTTAAACCTGAAATTTTCTTAATGGTTTGGCGGGTAGTTTTTCAACATTAATCTAACTATTTGATTATGGGGATTCTAGCATCATTTTTGCTGTTATATATGGGTAGTTTGTGCCCTAAAGCCTGTACGTAAATACATATTTCTGTCCGCATAAAAACCTAGAACAGTGTTCTTCAGCAGTAGGGTTTCGTTTTTTCTAGTGAGTGACTTTTCTGAGGGTGTATTCTCTGTTGCCCGTCTGTGTGTTACCCTCAATTATCCCTACTTGCAACATCTCATCTACCAACTTTTTAGCTTCATTTTTTGTGAGTATGCATACCTATATGGCTATACATTGGTAGGATTACATGAGAAAACCGAGTAAGGTTTTAATATAGTGGAAAAATATATTACTGTTATATTTACGAAGAAGAGATACAAGAGAAAGATATGAGCCCACTAAAAAAATCTTAGTATAAGCAACATACAAACATATATATTATGTATCAAGATTGGAACATATGCGTTAGATATTGTTTAGATATAATTTGATATTGTTAAGATATTGTTAGATATTGTTAACCACAATATCAAACAATATCTTTTGTTTATTCTGTTTACTTTCGGTTACTCTTTTGATTGTACCTCTCTATTATAAATGGATTATCCTATGTGTGATTTATACATAAGGGAGATTAATTTCAAACTCTATTTCCTCTATATTCAACATGGTATCTAGAGCTTAAGGTTATCTTGAATTTTTTTTTTCGCTTTTTGTCCACTGCTGGAGCCGCCCCACCACTGCTAGAACTGTCCCACCGCTGCTGGTAAACTGATCCTCCACATCAGAAAAAGAATTATCTGTTATTGAATTTTATTTGGTAGTGTGAAAGTGCATGTCTAGGAAAGTTCTGGCAAGGAAAGACTTGGTAGTTAAGTGTGTCCATTAGTGACCCACCTCTCTTTCCTGGGAACTTACCTGGTGTACTGGTTCACGTTGCTGTCACCGCTGCCGCTGGAGCAGTCACCAGATCTGCCGCTACCAGAGAATTCGCCGAAGTTTCATTTTTTTTTACCGGTGACATATGATTTTGCTTGTCTCGATCGGGTGACCACCGTGCTGTTGAGATCACCACTATCGGAGTTGGTCGTCCCATTGTCTCCTGCGCCGTTTAGTCTTGGCGAACTTATTTTTAGTATTCTCATTTTGGATTTGTGCTTCGTGGGTTAATTGGATTAATTTAGATTGTTTTAGGGTTTGTTCTCCCGCTCTTCATGACTTCTTCCACTTCTTCTACTATTTCCAATTTTGTTAATAATTCTTTTGTGTTGATATCCCATCATGATGATCGG